TCCTTTAAAGAAAAAGACAGGATAAGTGTCCCCGAGAAGGTTTCACCTTCTTAAAAAAAAGTTAATTGGCGCCTCCGAGAAGGTGTCATCTTCTGTAAAAAAAGCAGTTTAGGCCCCCGAGAAGGTTTCATATTCTTAAAAAATGACTGTTGGGGCCCCCGAGAAGGTTTTTGCCTTCTTTATAAAGCCGCAGTTGGAACCCCTAAGGAGGTTTCACATTCTTAAAAAGAGACAGTTGGGATCCCTGAGAAGGTTTCACATTTAAAAAAAAAGACAGTTGAGGGCCCCGAGAAGGTTTCACCTTCTTTACAGAAAAGAAAATAGAGATTCCCAAAAAGGTTTCCCTTTTTTTTTCCTTAAAAAAATAGACCCGAGAAGGTTTCGCATTCTTTAAAAAAAGAAATTTGCGCCCCCGAGAAAATGTCACCTTCCTTCATAAAAAAGGCATTTGGAGTCCCCGAGAAGGTTTAACCTTCTGTAAAAAAAGACAGTTAAAGACGGCGAGAAGGTTTCATATTAAAAAAAAAAACAAGAATTTGGGGCCCTCGAAAAGGTTTCCCATTTTTTTTTCTTAAAAGAATAGCCCCCGAGAAGGTTTCATCTCCTTTAGATAAGAAGAAAGAATAATCGTCCCCGAGAAGGTTTCACCTTCTTAAAAAAAAAGTCATTTGGGGCCTTCGAGAAGTTTTTCCCTTTTTTTTTTTCTTAAAAGAATAGCCCCCGAGAAGGTTTCACCTCCTTTAAATAAGAAGAAAGAATAAACGTCCCCGATAAGGTTTCACCTTCTTAAAAAAAAAGTCAGTTGGGGCCTTCGAGAAGGTTTCATCTTCTGTAAAAATAAAAACAGTTGGGGCCCCTGAGAAGGTTTTATATTCTTAAAAAATGACAGTTGGGATCCCTGAGAAGGTTTCACATTAAAAAAAAAGACAGTTGAGGGCCCCGAGAGAAAAGAAAATTAGGATTCTCAAAAAGGTTTCCCAATTTTTTTCCTTAAAAAAATAGACCCGAGAAGGTTTCGCATTCTTTAAAAAAGACATTTGGTGCCCCGAGAAAATTTCACCTTCCTTCAAAAAAAAGGCAGTTGGAGTCACCGAGAAGGTTTAACCTTCTGTAAAAAAGACAGTTTAAGACCCCGAGAGGGTTTAATATTAAAAAAGACACAGTTGGGCCTTCGAGGTTTCCCATTTTTTTTTTTCCTTAAAAAAATAGACCCCGAGAAGGTTTCACCTCCTTTAAAAAAAAGACAGGATAAGCGTCCCCGAGAAGGTTTCACCTTCTTAAAAAAAAGTCAATTGGGGCCTTCGAGAAGGTGTCATCTTCTGTAAAAAAAGCAGTTTAGGCCCCCGAGAAGGTTTTATATTCTTAAAAAATTACTGTTGGGGCCCCCGAGAAGGTTTTATATTCTTAAAAAATGACTGTTGGGGCCCCCGAGAAGGTTTTTGCCTTCTTTATAAAGACAGTTGGAATCCCTAAGGAGGTTTCACCTTCTCTACAGAAAAGAAAATTAGGATTCCCAAAAAGGTTTCCCAATTTTTTTCCTTTAAAAAATAGACCCGAGAAGGTTTCGCGTTCTTTAAAAAAAGACATTTGGTGCCCCCGAGAAAATTTCACCTTCCTTCATAAAAAAGGCAGTTGGAGTCCCCGAGAAGGTTTAACCTTCTGTAAAAAAAGACAGTTAAACACCCCGAGAAGGTTTAATATTAAAAAAAAACACAGTTGGGGCCCTCGAGAAGGTTTCACTTTTTTTTTTCTTGAAAAAATACCCCCCTAGAATGTTTCACCTTCTTAAAAAAAGTCAATTAGGACCTTCGAGAAGGTGTCATCTTCTGTAAAAAAAGCTGTTTAGGCCCTCGAGAAGGTTTTATATTCTTAAAAAATGACTGTTGGGGCCCCCGAGAAGGTTTTTGCCTTCTTTATAAAGACACAGTTGGAATCCCTAAGGAGGTTTCACATTCTTAAAAAGAGACAGTTGGGATCCCTGAGAAGGTTTCACATTTAAAAAAAAAAAGACAATTGAGAGCCCCGAGAAGGTTTCACCTTCTTTACAGAAAAGAAAATTAGGATTCCCAAAAAGGTTTCCCATTTTTTTTTCCTTAAAAAAATAGACCCGAGAAGGTTTCGCATTCTTTAAAAAAGACATTTGGTGCCCCGAGAAAATTTCACCTTCCTTCAAAAAAAAGGCAGTTGGAGTCCCGAGAAGGTTTAACCTTCTGTAAAATAGACAGTTTAAGACCCCGAGAAGGTTTAATATTAAAAAAAAAACACAGTTGGGCCTTCGAGGTTTCCCATTGTTTTTCCTTAAAAAAATAGAGCCCGAGAAGGTTTCACCTCCTTAAAAAAAAAAGACAGGATAAGCGTCCCCGAGAAGGTTTCACCTTCTTAAAAAAAGTCAATTGGGGCCTTCGAGAAGGTGTTATCTTTTGTAAAAAAAGCAGTAGGCCCCCGAGAAGGTTTTACATTATTAAAAAATGACTGTTGGGGCCCCCGAGAAGGTTTTTACCTTCTTTATAAAGACGCAGTTGGAACCGCTACGGAGGTTTCATCTTCTTTACAGAAAAGAAAATTAGGATTCCCAAAAAGGTTTCCCAATTTTTTTCCTTAAAAAAATAGACCCGAGAAGGTTTCACCTTCCTTCAAAAAGAAGGCAGTTGGAGTCCCCGAGAAGGATTAACCTTCTGTAAAAAAAGACAATTAAATACCCCGAGAAGGTTTCATATTAAAAAAAAAAACAGTTTTGTTGCCTCCGAGAAGGTTTCACCTCTTTTAAAACAAGAGAGTTGGGGCCCCCGAGAAGGTTTCCCATTTTTTTTTATTAAAAAAAATAGCCCCCGGGAAGGTTTCACATTCTTTAAAAAACCATTTGGTGCCCCCCTCTCTTTTCTTAAAGGGTATGTCGTTTGCCAAAAAAAAAGTCATCCTCGTTACTAAGAAATCAGAAAGTAATAAGCCGGAGGAATTCAGGCATTAGGTGTGTACAGTGTTGCCAATTTTACTTTTATAAAATTACGTTTTTTTTGTAATCTACATCATTAAGAGTTTTTTTATAATTTTTTTGGGACTCCCACACCCCCGTACATAACCTATTGAAGAGTTAATCCGCCATTTTAGTACAAAATTAGGTATCTAATATGTTTGAGTTTTTGTAAAGAGCAAATTCTAAGATTAAAATTTTGTGTGAATCTGGATAAAGGAAAACCATGTATTAAATATCATTATACGATGCACTAAGCAACTGAAGAATTCGGAACGAGTGAAAAGTGAATGTTTTGGTTTCAGGATTGTATGGCGAGCAGTTGATTTTGTTTCAATATATACCTCACATGAGTGAACTGATTGCATTGTGTAAACGAAGATTAACACCCAACTTGGAAGGAGGATTGATTTCATGTTTGGCACTTTTGGCGCATGTTATACCGTATTTGTCCGATTCGGCACTGATGGACCAGTTACAAGTAAGTTTTTTGTTAGCTTTGCCTATTTATTACTACGATTACACAAAATGAAAATTTCAACCATTGCTTACACGTTTATTTCTAAAATCATTAGTCGTACGAATAAAGAACAACAAAAGTCGATCAGTAATTGTAAATGTGGACTTTGAAATTTAAAATCCCTTCTGGTGCTAACTCGAAAATCTGACTCCTGTCAAATGTGAATTTACTCCCATTAGTTCCATTTCGCAGATGTAAACACGGTTGTCGTATGAATAACCGCCGGTGACTATTTTCTATGGCAGTGAAGTCGATTTCGCACGTGAAGTTGTGTTGCCGAGAGCCAATTTTTCTGAGAGTCCATGTGCAATTTTCGTGATGTTTATAATACCGTAAGCTAAACTAGTGGTCAGAAAACTTCACAATTCGTTGCGACAAAATAGTGGAATCTAGATCAAACTTAAAGATTTTTTCGGACGAATTTGATATAATATCGGGATGCACATTCATTAGATGTTGTTCCAGTCCTTTTCTCAGTCCACCCCATCTGCAAATACCAGTACCGACGGGACAGATGTGACCTAAGTAATCGCAGTGCTCTTCGTGTTTTTTTATCTCCTGAGAGCAAGCTCTATATGTGCAACCATTGCTCTCGTAAATGCATGGGTATTCTACTAAAACTGCAATTTTTTTCTAAAATATTACTTCTTGGAGACGCACAGTCGGTATTCTAGCAAATTGTAAATTTCTTCTGAAACTGACAGATCTAGTTGAAATTGTCCAGTTTTCTTTGGGGTAGTGGTCATGCACTGAATAGTTTACTGTACTATGACAAAATCTCCCGGAAAGACTATACAATGTTCTTGGTCGAACGCCTTGGTCAATCAAAGATTATGAAAAAGTCGATTTCTTTCTATTGCTGTTTCCTAAGAAGTTTGCTGGGAAAGTCCCGTGGCAAAACCAGTGCCAAAAAACAGGTCGTTGCCTCAGCAGCTGATGATTAAGACGAAGATATATCCTCTTTTTTCATTAAATTTAATTTGACTTACAGATGAAATTGTTATAATGATTTGTGAATAACGGACTATTACTCACCACAAGACACTTATTTCAGATCAGCTGAATCAGTTTTCTGCATCATTTAACACTTTAACTCTAATTAAGTGTGCATTTTGTTTTTTAATATTACGATGACATTCAAACCAAATAAGCTCAAAATTCTAAAGCTAGCCCACGAACTGGGTATACAAAGCACACTTCATTCACATTTTCGATCCTCACCATATCCCTCTTCCGCTATGCAGAAAACCAAAACAGATCGTCCAGAGAAAGTTTTCGGTCATAAAATAACGGTAACACACATACTTCCTCGCGCTCCACAATGCAATAGTTAGGCAAAAACCCCCATCACACCCACCCAGAAATCCAAAAGTGAGTTTACCACCACGCCAGCTCCGTACCGGAAAAAATCCTGCGTGTTGTAAACAAGTGCCATCATCCACGGTGTCTGAGTGACGTCAGACCGGGTATAAGAAGTAAACCGGCGAAGAAGTAAAGTTGTTAGTCTGTCATCCGCCTCACGGTCAGCACAGGTCATAGCTCTTCGTATAACAGTGTTACACGGTGCGGTTAATAAGTGTGCTCCAGTGTGACCTACTAAGGGTAAGTTGCAATGGGCGGTTCCGGGACGGACAGTGCTTGAGTGCCGGAAAACGGAAGACTGTGTTCCGGGTGGCTTTACCAGAAGATGTGGTAGAATTTTGAAAATTTTAATTTATGCTGGTGTAACTGTTGAGGTACCGTTAAGTCGGTCAGTTGGTAATTTGATTAATTGGGTGCTAATGCTGTGGACAATTCGGAATTTGCGAAGACGGAAGCAGAATTTTGAACTTGTTTTGACTCTATTGTGAGAAAAGGTGTAAAAATTATACAAACTAAGTAAAATATTAAAACGCAAAGTACATCAAACTAAATTGAAATTCACACTTTTCGTCAGTATGTGCATAATTTTGGATCCTACTAAAGTGTGATAAAAAAAAACTCTAAACTCAAAATGGTTCTCCGTTATGATCTACTTTAGATGGAAACGATCGATCTGATTAGTTTGACTTCTCTCTTTTTACCTATATGCTTTCCGATGCAAAAGAAAGAAAACCCAGTTGGTGTTAAATTCAAACCAAGTTTATAGCGTTTTTTAAATAATCATTGTTGTTTGGTCAAAATTTATTCATATAAATGTGGCAACACCGCTTTTCGGAAAATTTCTTTTTGAAGAAAGTTAAGTATGCAAATGTGGTTAGTTGATTACGTATACAGATCACTGTTAAAAAATCTTCATCCCAGAGTGACGTCAGAATTCAACCTTGAATTTTGACGTCAAATTAAATTTTAAATAAAAAACGAAATCTTGTTTTATAATGTAATTAACTTGAAACTACACACGACACGACATGGTACGGATACCGTTCATTAAGAAAATAGTGGATCGAAAGTGTCTGTGAACAACAAAAAAATCTAAAACGTGTATCTGAGATTTGCCACTCAGCGCAAATGTCATAGTTGTTTATTATTGATTTTTGAGACTTAGGTTACGTTTAATAATTTTGTTCATAATTCGTACACTTTAGTACAACTGTTATAAATTATGGATCACCACATGAAAATTTTGTCTCCAATGTATATATTTGTTTTTATATCATTATTTTAGTGTCTTATTACATTTATATAATTATTCGGAAACACCTAGGGAATGCTGAATTAATTCTTGTGTTGGCGTAATTAAATTTCCCTAAACCCAACTGTCAAAGTTAGTGAAGGTATTTTATTTTTTCTTCATATTATCATCCAAATAGAAAAAATCTATAAAAAATTTTTGAAAATGAAACTTTATGCAAACGTGAAATGGAAATTGTTTTAATTTAAGATTTGACTGAAATTGATATTTTCTTTTAGCTTTTACGTAGAACATCGTTCATTTAAATGTAAACTAAAATTCTCTCCCCACAGAACAAAACTAACGTTCTTACTTTTTCTAGCACAATGCGGATATACTTCTTAGCAACAGTTTTTCTCCTCTCCGTCATCCACTGCTACAGCACCCCCATCATAGTCTCCCGAGAAACCAAATCCCTAGAACAAGTCGAAAAAGAAGGCATCCGAGCTGAAGAAACCACAGGTGTGACCAACCCCGAACCTCTAACCACCGAAGCCCCCAAACAAGAATCCCCAACCACCGCAGCCCTCAGTGATGAAGCCAAATCTGTAACAGAACTCCCTAAAGAAACTGGTCGACAGTCATCCGACGACGACGACGACGACGATGACGACGACGACGATTTGGGGCTAGATATCGGAGACGACGATGATGATGATGATGACGACGACGACGATGGGGACGACGATGATGACGACGGAGACTACGACTTCGACAGTTTCTTTGACGATATTCTTGGAGGTAAAAGTTTGAGTTGTTTGTAGGTGGGTTTTGATGGGTTGTTGATAGGTGATGATGACGACGACGATGATGACGATGACGACGACGAAGACGATACCGTGGCTGCTGATGTTCCTGTGGTTTCTCCCGTGTCGGCGCAGCCTGTTGTCGCCCCCAGTGAGACTCTCGTGGAGGACGCCACTGGTGACGAAGTCCTCGAGGAGCACTCAGCGGGAGAAGGGGATAGTGATACTGGTACGGGCGCTGAAACCTCTGAAACCGAATCCTTGATTGATAAGAACCCAACTGAGAGTAACGAACCGGTCGTGGTCGACGAAGTGCCGGCGAACGATGCCGAGGATGACGACGACGATGACGATGACGATGACGACGACGACGACGATTTGGAGGGTTTGACTGAGGACGATGACGATGACGATGATGACGATGACGATGACGATGACGACGACGATGACTTCGATGATGTGATTGAAGCCAGACGATCACGTGAGTCCAAATCTCGTAAACACAGTAAGAAATCAAAAAAATCCAGAAAACAACACAAAATATCTAACAAAGTGAGATAGAGTAGTGCTCAGAGACCTGTATCATCCATTCTGTACAAAACGCACTGTAGTTAGTAGACTTTCTGTTTCTGCTCTTCTTTGAAAATTTAGTTACGTGCCAGTGTATTTGCTATTTATTATTTACTATTTATTTTATTTATTTGAATGCTTTTGCATTATACTAGGTATATGTCACAGTCAGTGACCCGAATCTGTATTTGTACAAAAACATTAAAACAATACAATAGAAATTGTTGTGTTTTATTTTTTTAACGAAGCAAAATGTTCTTAACATTTTGTGACATTTATCTAGCTAATGCATCTCTTTCTCTAACCGCATGCCTCTAACACAGTCACAGTCTAGTTCTAACTCTCGTAAATGTGATCGAAGTGGTAAATGGGTAAGTAGAAGCTGACCGATGACATGACTCCTCGACATGACTTAAGTCGACCTGTAGTGGGGTAGAACCTGTAGTACTTAAGTAAACCTAGATAGAAATCATGAAAGCATGGTAGAACATCCGATATCAGTGTAGCCTTTTTGAGTAGATAGATCAAACTCGATCCATCATCAAAGTAGCCATAGTCCATAACAAAGTAACACAGCCACCCATGTTCTATGTGTTTTCGCGCGGAACTACAACCACCCTGTATATAACTATGCGAGGAATGTCCATGAAATCCTCGCAGTAGGCCACGGAAGACGTGTCGCCGGAGATGTGGGTCACCTAGTGACCTTCTTCGGCGCATCCTTCCGAGGTCAAGCGAGTTCTTGGTCGGCCGCTTTAATTGAGCGTGGAGCAACTGATTGATGCCTCGTTGTTGCAATAACGCGGCGTTTGTTTCGGCGGTTATAATTGGACGTATCCTTGGGTAGAAAGTCCGGCCCTGACCTGATGGCCACTGACCTCGCCAGACGGTCTTATCGGCTGTTCCGTTATAAATGGTGTTGCCGGATTTCGTTTCACCGGAACATGAGGTTTTCGAGGATTACAATTTTTATTAATCACGATCGAGGAAACTTTCTTCGGGAGGTTGCCTAATTAGTGTGGGAATGTCGTGAGAGTGTTTGAATTTTTCTTTTTAATTCTTGCGACGTAATCATTATGCCGCCGACTTCCATGTTTTGAGTTTTAATGAATCATTAATGATTCAAACGTGAAATGGGGGCGCGGCTAATATGCAGACGGAGACAATAGTTGCAAGTGGCGCGAATGTGGTCATCATCCAGTTTACTGAATTAATTACCCGCAGAGTTTGTTTTTTGATTTTTTCTTGCTAACTCTGTAAACTTTTATGGCATAACTGGGAATAAAAATTGAGTATGTTTGTATCAGATTTTGGTGAGATAAATGCTAGAAAACGAAAAAAAAATTGTGCTGAAATTTGAGAAAACTGACCGTTTTAGTTTTTGCCCAGTTTTAAGATTCATATCTTATAAAAAAGGTGTCGATGACATCATTGTCATCGACACCTTTTTGAATCGTAAATACGGTATGCAAGTTCAGTAAATCTCAGTTTTTTCTCTTACAAAATAACTACAAATAATTAAAATGACAAAAAAATTACTGAGAGTATCCTGGCGAAAATTTTTCTCATTTCTGAATATTTTGCAAAAATTTCATCATTAAAAAAATAAAAACCATGGTCTTGGAGACAATTTCATCATTATCAGAACTGACATTTCTTTAGCACACTGTTTGCTCAACGTTTTACAATTTGTCATAAAAATTATTTATTCATCCCCCCAAAAAAAGTGATGACGTTATGTCAAAAATCAAACATAAATAAATGTCAACGTGAAATTTATAATGCGATATTTTCCGCTACTTGTTATTTGTTAATATATCCATATTTTTGATTTTATGCATACGAACTATCTTAAAAACAAAATATGTACAATGTAATTTTAAACTTTATTTTAGAATTCATTGAACGAATTTTTTTGAAAATTTAGGAAACGTGAATGTACCTTACTTAATTATTGTCCGACATTTTAGAAACACAATCTTCCTTGTTTAATGAAGAATGTGTATGTTTACACGTTGACACACAAGCAGTATTCATTCTACTTCAAAAACGAGTGTAAACAATTTTGCAGGTTATGTAAATTAATGACACGTTGAATAGACGTTGACAAAAGTTTGTATTAAGAAAAAAAAGGCAAAATTAGCCCCGCCCACCCGCCCTATCTCAATTGTGATGATTTTTTTTATTCGTCGTGAGTCAAGAGGGCGGAGCTTTTGCAGTTAAAACTGCAAAAACATGGTTTCAGTATCGTGTTGTTCAAAGAATACTATGTATATTAAGAAAAAAATGAAGCCAAAGATTAGACCCCATCCATATCCGCCCTGATCTCAGCTCTCAATTGTGATGCATTTTTCATTCGTTGTCAGATGGAGGGGCGGGGCTTAATTGCAAAATCCATATTTGTCTAAAAGAATTCACCATTCTAAATATAGTTTAAAGTTCTTGTTCTGAAAAGACGATTACGTATATTACGATAAAAAGCAAAATATAAGCCCCGCCCACCCGCCCTATCTTAATTGTGATGATTTTTTTTTAATCGTCGAGAACCAAACGAGCGGATTTTTTTATATTTTCGTTTTTTTTTTTTCTTAATATGCCAAGTATTCTTTGAACAACCCAATACTCAAAAACATGTTTTTATTTTGTTGTAAAGAAATAAGTATTTTGCAGTTAAGCTTCGCCCCCTTGATTCAAGGCGAATAAAAAAATCATCACAATTGAGACAGGGCGGGTGGGCGGGCTTACATTTTTTCTTTTTGTGTTAATATGTGTAGACTTATTTTCACAACATGAAACTTAAAACACGTTTAAAATGGAAAATTTTGAGACGGAAACATCGATTTTGCAATTAGGCTATGAAGAAAAAAACAGGCAAAATAAAAGATAGCTATAAAAATTAGCCACCGTTGTCAGATTCACTCTGAACAATTTTTTAATTTTTAGTGATATTATTAAGAAAACGATGGATAAAGACATGTTACTTTTAAAAATTATTTGGAATAATGAAAGTTCGGTCGATTTCATATACCTATACACTAAGTAGTAAATTAAAATATGGTGAAATATCGAAAGGAAAAATTACTTACTTTCACAGTTGTTACAGATGCTTTTGATACTTTTTTATTTGCTCAATAAACAGATCTTAACAACGTGTCAGAGCATTTGTGCGCCATTTTTTGATCACGCTGTATAATTAAAGGATTGCAAACAAAACATAGTGACAAAATGGATTCTTAATTTGCCAAAAAATATCGAAACTTTAACCACTACATTTAAGTGTCAAAAGAAAATTACCAAAGTGACAATGTAAAAAAATCAAAAGCAAAATTTTATTCTAAAATGTAAAAACTGTAAAAAAAATCAATTTTCAATATAATCAATTTGTAAGATAAGGTAGCTCAATCAATACATTGAAAGTCTCAGTAAGTACCGAGTGACTATTAAGTTTATGATTTTTTTTGTCAGGTTGGCAACACTTAAAATTTATAATGGCAAATTCAAATTTTGGACATTAGTTCAGTAACTGCCATCTTTTCATTGGTTTTTAACTGCGCTGACGACAATATTGGCAACTGAGAACTAACTTGTTAACATTGCTGCCAATAATTCAGAATTGCCAACCCAAAAATTTGCCTTAGTCATTAATAGTCACTCCGTAGTTTTGAAAAAAGTCCTGAGTATCAAAGTATCATAAAACTGGAATACTAGTTCAGTTAATTTTTCCTTAAAAATCAATTCTAATCGCAAGGATTCAAGGACACATTACAGAATTTGACGTAGATTTAATCTAGGGTGATCGTTATACCTTTTTTAATAGTGGTGTTCTATTTTTCAAATTCAAATACTTTTTACTCTTTCTTTTTTTCTAATTCAGTGAACATTTTCTATTTTCGCCTTTTTTACGCTTCTTTACTTCTCGAAGGTAAGCAAGGAAATATTGTAATAGGGTCTACTCGGCGAATGACTACTTTCAGGTTTTTTCGGTGCTTTATGACCCCTAGAGTACGATAAAAATTGCTCCCTTCCAGTTTCCAGTTATACTTTTCGGTTTGGAAACCAGAAATGTAGTTTAATTAAATTGTAGGTTTTCCCAAAACATATACTGCTTCAGTTGGTATCAATGAATTTTGTTTGAAATAGGTAGACCTGTCACTCCACGTTACTTCTTGTTGCCAAAACTGGCATGATTGATAGTGACATTTAATTTATGTTGAAATTTGTTACTAATTGTTACTAAAAGGTCGTAACCATCAACCAAACTTTCTTTAGCGCTTCAAAGTGACATAGCGCCAAGCATTTGAATCAGGTTTGGCAACAGCAGCGCACGAAAATTGTAATTGTATTGCCAACTCAAACGGTACTTGTTAATCGCGTTGTATCTATTTTTTCATAGCTGCATTGCTGCCATTATAGATTTTTTAAATCCCTATTAATTTTTCGCCAGTGAAATCAACATGATGATACTTTGACCATTTACAATAATCTTAATAAACAAACTTGGTTTAGCCACAATTGAATGTGGTAACAATTTAAAGTAACACCATAGTGTCACTTATAGCAAGTAAATCCATTCTATTTTGACACTTAAAAGTAGTGGCTTTAGCCACACAAAAATCTGAACAAAAATGATATTTTCTTACTACCGAGTTTTGTGTGAAGCTTTTTAAAAAACGGTTTTTTTTTAGAATTTACATGTTGTGGTTATTTGCAAATTATTATCATCAAAGTAGTTACTTATGAAAATTCGTTCACATGACAAATTCACTTTAAAAGTACCAAATAATATTAATCTTTGTGATTTTTTTGTCAGGGCGGTGACATATTTAAAATTTTAGGATGGCATAACTGATTGTCAATTTGAAATTTATGATAGTCTTATCTTAGAAGGTACTAGCCCCGCCCACCCACCCTGTTCTCATTCTAACGACCTTATTTCTGTTCAGTATAAGATCCACTTTTGATTCAGAATACATAAAATGAATCATTGAAATAGAGGCTAAGTGCTAATCGTAATTTTTTCGGTACAGTATTTCTTTTTTCAGAAGAAAAAAAATAGAGAACGGGTGGGTGGGCGGGGCTAAGTTTTGCAGTCAGTCTTATCTTAGCAAGGACTAGCCCCGCCCACCCACCCTCTGTTTTCTTAGAAGATATGACATTTGCAACAATTAGTCTTATCTTAGCAAGAATTAGCCCCGCCCACCCACCCTTCACTTTCTTCGAGGGTATGTCATGTACTAAAATCAGTCTTATGTTAGCAGGTACTAGCGATCTTCTCATTGTGTTTATTAGACGCGTTTGTGTCAAAACTGACAGCTATGAACTACATATAGCACTGTTGCCAATAATTCAGTATTGCCAATACAAAAATGTTGTCCGCAGTTATAGTGCCTGTAGTTACGGTATATTTTATTATAAATATAAGAAAATAATACAACGCTATATCACTAAACAACTTTATTATTTTATGGATAGTAGTTTAGGCAATTTTGCTGGGTTCAATATGCTAAAGTGGATTATCATGGTCCTCCTAAAATTGAAGTAAAAAAATTCCGAATAATCCCTGTCAAAATGTCCAGAAATTGCTTGAGTATATTTCCTTTTAACTGTCATACGACCTAGGGCAATTCAGTTACAAAGTTACACAATTGAATACTTAGTTTAATAACAAAAGATAACAACCTCAATGACAATAATAGATAATTAAACAGTTATTATTTTTTTGCAGACGATGACCGTACGGTCACAGTAGGTACGGTCATCAGTATTATGTCATAAATCATTACTGAAAGCAAAACATTTGATTTTCACGTACAGTCACCAGCATTAAAAACGGGACAACAATTGACAAAACAATTTATATTTGATATCTTAATAACGATAAAATGACAGTTAAACGTCTCTCCTTGTCCCGTTTTTAATTAACTTCGAAACATGCATCTCACAACTTATTTTGAATTTAAATACTAGGTTGTACTTATGACGGGTTAAAAATTTTGGTCCGAATTAATAACTGTGAAACTGTCAATTTCATATAACGAAAGCAAGATTATAATTTTTATGTACTAATGACAGAAGAAATCACGGAACCGATATTCCATGAAAATGCAAGCGTGGGAAGTACCAATTTTCGTTACAGAAAAACGAAATATCAGTGACCTTGACCTGCTTTATAATATACAGTTTACGTAACTGTAACATAATTGCAAAAAGTGTCACTAATCGTTGGCTAAACTAAGACAACGTAGCTGTTATAAAAACAGTACATTTAACTCTTTATTTCATGTGTGGTAACCACATTTAAGTTTTTAAAATTTTGTGAACATGGCGTCAAATGATTCAAGGTCAAAGCTTTATGTCATCAGCTTTATGTATCTAGTTGTTAACATACTGATTAACTACCCGCATTGATATATCTCACCTGTATGTTGGTTGACTACTAAAACAACCTTCCAGATACAGGAAATTCCAGGAATTGCAACTGTTCCACAAAAAACGGTTCAAAACTGTTTAGATAAAAATAATGAGGGTTCCAGAAATGTACAAGGTTATTATGTCAATGCAGTATTTTTCTACACTGATTAAAACCGTTGCCAACCTTTGAAAGAAATTTTATTAATGTGGTGGTTTTAGTTCCGCTTTAGTCCAAATAAATGGTATTTGGAGCAAGCCCCACCAAATACCATTTATACCCCAAATAAGCACCCTCTCTACAACCCTTTTCCGTTCAGGTGCCATGCAAACCCCAAAAATGCCCGCCATATACATATCAAAATACAACAGATTCGTCGACAACATAATCGGCCGCATCAACAAAATCCTCGGCAAGTCTTACGACCCCGTCCGAGTGAAAATCCTAGCCAACGACGCCAAAAAGAACAAGAAAACCGCGACCAAGAAAACCACCAAGAAAAACAAGAAACGAACCAACTCGAAACGACGAACCGCGGCCACTAACAGCATGACAAACAAAATGGCGGAGATCGCCATTGCTAGATCCGACAACGGCGACAACGAGCCTTCGTATATACTAATTTCCAAAACCAGCGACAGAACACCCGAATTGAGAAACAACATTCGGACAGGGAACAGAGCTACGAACAACAAGAACAAGAAGAAGAACAACAACAACAACAACAAGAACGGGAATAAGACTAAAAGCGGAACGAAGAACAAGACACCCAAGGCGAAAGCCACGCTTTTCGGGCTCAGTTCCATCAGGAGAGACGGCGACGTCAGTGTGAACATGATGGCCAACCACACCACAGTGAAGACGAACTTTGTGTTGGGACCCCTGACGCTGCGGGTCGAACGAGAGGTAATAGTGCCAACTGCTAAAATAAAGTCACTAAATTGTTTGTGTAGATGGGGCGAGGTGCCAAGAGGGAAGTGAAGAGCGCCACAGCCACCACGGCACAGATGCATGGACGTCTTAATCTTCGTATAGTTCACGGAGGCGCGGCTACTCTTCACTCAATAAAAGTTCTGCAGCCGAAACAGGTACGTACTTAAGTCGTCATTGTGACGTAATACGCATTATGATTCTACAGGTTCGCGTCGACAGTGCTGACGACCACGAAAAAACCAAAGAGTTCATGTGGAGGAGGAGTCCCCATATTGCCTCCCTTGTTTCTCAGAAGCTTGCCTCTGCGACCAGATCGATGCTAAAGCCGCCACCGGCAGCTTAATTTTACTAAGTAATTTTCAAATTTGATATTTTGTGCCTTCGTTATTTATTTTATTTATTGTAGAGTGTTTAGTGATGTTTAATTTATTGATTAGGTTAGAGTGTTGCCCAATAAATTCTAATTTTGCGTACTTTGTATTTTTAAACTAAATAGAATAAGTTACAGTTAGGTTGGTATAACTGTAAACGCGGACTGCAAACTAAACCCGGTGACAACAAACGCCAGTTTGATTTTACAAATTTTATTTGCACAATAATTAACATAATGAATTACATCACTCATGGTAAATCTTTGGAACTGTATAATACTAAACAGGAAATAAATAACTATTTATAAATCAATATAATGGTAGTACAGTTATTGTAACTAAATGGTGAAATGGATAATGCCGTAAATAACACACCTATGATATAAAAAAGGAATTGACTAGTGACTTTTTTGTAGTCAGTGACTTCCTTGAGTCCTATTCACGCTAGAAGTGTTTTCCACGTTAAGTTTACTAAAATATTGGAGACTTTGTTAAATCAAATACACTAGCCTTGACGTAATTCCCACTGGATTGATTAGTACTTAATTCAATTATGTCAAGTTTTTGTTTGAAGTTTGTGAACTAATAAAATCTAAAGCAGTCCTAAGACGATCAAACTCACTCAAAGTCTGGTCGTCTGTAACCGCTTAGCAAATCTCCAACGTACTCATACAAGTGACTATTTTTTTTACCTAAACGAATTCTGTATGTGTATACTTATTTCTATTTTATAAAGTATGTAAATTTACACTTTTGTATAAAATAAAATTCTGTAAGTTGTTTAACCGTAAATATACATATCCCTGAAAATAGTCTCAATATACAAACGCAGTTCGTTTGTCTGATAACAAAGAATTAAAATTAACATCACAATAAATAAAACCTTAAAAAAACAAGGAATTGCACTGGAATGTTAAGAGAAATCTGATCACACGCGATCTTCCTTAATTGAACCTGTAATGATACATCAAATTTAAAAAAAAAAGAAAATTTTCTATTAAATGAGTGGGATTTTTACTATTTTACACCCGTTTTTCAACAAAAAATAGTTCAGAGATGTTTACAAACAAAGAGAGAGCGTTGAATTCTAACCTAACCTCAATCCGTAGTCGTTTATTTTTTTTTTTTAATTTGATATATCTCACCCACTTTTTCCAACTTCAATTTAAACTCATTCCACCTAAAACCAAAAACGCCACAACAATCTAACAAAACCTACCTTCCTCCTTGGCAAGAATCGGCCCCTCTCCCCCCTTTCAACACAAAAGATTGATAACCCCCGTGTCCGCCCCCAGCAACAATAGTCTATTGAGCGGTAAAAGGGCCATCGAAGTCAACAGGCCCTTGAAGGCGTCCGACCTCAACTTCGTGCTCGAGAACGATGCCTCGAGGTCGATCGACGTGTGGACGCCTATCCTGTTGGCGGTCGTCCCCGAGATCAGTTCGTTATTGTAGACGTTCAGGCAGTGCACCGGTTCCGTGGCACCTCTGGCGAAAGACAGCCTATCAATGGCGATGAAACCGATCAGAACGTCACTATTGTACCAACCTGAGGTGGAACCTGAACTTTCCGTCGCCGGCGTTCCAGACGCCGATGGTCTGGTCGAGGCTGGACGAGATGATGGTGTGGTTGTCGGCGGCGACGAGCTGCAGGACTTCGCTTTCGTGGGCCTTCCAGGTGGAGATGACTAGGCCGGTGCGGCTGTCCAGGACCGTGATGGTGCCGGAGGACTGGCCGGTGGCGATCCAGGCGCCCGAGGGGGCGACAGCCAGGCAGCGGATTAGGCCGGCGGGGTTGAGGCTCACCTAACGCAAACAAAATAATTGTTTGTTTGTAATAACTTAGGGTAATCCACTTAAGGGGACTCGCTGGACGAGGTATAACATTTTTTTGGTTTTTTGTATGAAAAAATGATATTAATATAGATGTATCATACATCAAACTGCAGCTTTTTTCATATTCTAGAGCGCAGAGACCAGTTCAATCAACTAAAAAAATATGGCTGAGAAATATCGTAAAAAAAGCACCATTGTATGTTTTCTTTTCAAGTTTTTTGAGTTATAACCATCATAGAATCGCTTGAAAATTCGCACATGGATAAAACATCACTTTTTACAGGGCGCAGAGTCATTAAATGTTTGTTAGTGGTACAATTTATTTAAATAATAATGTGTTTATTAAAATCAAAATATACCACAAATTAATGCAAAATACGTCGAATAATTTTAACAGGAATATCAGAGGAAAATTAATGATCTATCGGTTAGCAGAGTTTTTAACAAAAACTAACAATTATTGAAAAAAATGGGTATCAATTCGACAGAATTTGAGCAGTTAGTTCAGTACTTTGCCGATAGGAGCGCCACTAAAATTTACGGAAGCCACTTTCCAGGTAAAACCCTTATCGCCTGCTTTACCATAAGCTGATTGTTGGAGTTCTCGGCTGATTCTTCGAATTTATGGCACTCAGTTTTATAACAAGCCGCCAGGACCGGCCGTAGTAATCTATTGTTAAGGAAATTAACTTTTACGCAATGAGGTACTACCATAAAACCGAATTAAAACTGGGGAACTATAATATTTTTACTCCACTCAGGATCCTGAATTCAATGCACATGATTACTAAAAAATCATTGTAATATTATTGTTAATATATATTTTGCTTTGTTAATTAATAAAACTAATAAACATATTTATAATAATAATAAAAAATAAAATACAGCTTTTGTTTAACACGTATAAGTAGCTAAGTGTATCTACTACTTATCCCAGAAAGGAGGTGTTTTAAAAAAGCCCTACGTCCAGTAACTTCTCCCTTCATTGTTTACTCGAAAAAAGTGCTCGTATATGTTTTCATTTGCCGAGAGATCATTTTCAAAATATATTTATAATAAAAATATGCAAGTCTTGGTGATGAAAAATGTACTCCTAATAAATTATTAAAGTACATAAAAAAATAGAAACAAATTTTATTTATTTTAAAAAAATCTCTCGCAAAGGCAGGTTCCTCTTTCTTCTTGAATCAATTATTTCGGGCAATAATGCGCCAAAGTAAAATCTGCCAAGTTTATCTGCCATCTTTTTACATATTTCTTCGTTTTTTTCTACATTAATTCCTTTGGGTGTCCACACAACAAAATAAACTTGTGAAATACCCGTAACAAGCATTTGTCCCTGGACTTGAAAGTAGTAGTCATTATTCTTTTTTTAGTTTCAATTCTCTGTCTGTCAATGTACAAAATTTGATTATTTTTTTTCTAACCGTTTCTTCGGGAGACAAATCTTGCGATTTTGCAGGGCATTTAATTTCGACTAATGCACTCCTATCCCCTAGAACCCTGTCTGGACTAACAGCCAAGTAAGGAAATTGTTTTGAAATAAACAATATTTGATGAGATAAAATTAATTTTGGCACTTTTGACCACTCAACTATTTTCGAAAATTATTAGTGGAAATAATTTTCTAGTCCCGCCCGTCCGCCCTCTATTTTCTTATTAGAGACTATGTCATTTGCCAAAATGAGTCTTGGCAGGTACAAGCGACACCCGCCCATCCTCTCTTTTCTTAGGAGATATTTCATTTGCCAAATTTAGTATTATTTTACCAGGCTACTAGCCCCGCCCACCCACCCTCTCTTTCCTTAGAGGGTATGTCATATGCCAAAATTAGTCATATCTTAGCTAGGTATTTGCTAAGATAAGACTGATTTTGGCAAATCACATGTCCTCCAAGAAAACAGAGGGTGGGTGGGCGGGGCCAATATTTGATGAGATAAAACTAATTTTGGCACTTTTGACCACTCAACCATTTTCGAAAATTAGTGGAAATAATTTTCTAGTCCCGCCCGTCCGCCCTCTATTTTCTTAGAGACTATGTCATTTGCCAAAATGAGTCTTGGCAGGTACAAGCGACACCCGCCCATCCTCTCTTTTCTTATTCGGGTATGCCATTTGCCAAAATCGGTCTTTAAACAGATATTAGCCGCGCCCACCCGCCCTCTCTTTTCTCAGAGGATATTTCATTTGCCAAATCCAGTATTATCTTACCAGGATACTAGCCCCGCCCACCCACCCTCTCTTTTCTTAGAGGGTATGTCATATGTCAAAATTAGTCATATCTTAGCTAGGTATTTGCTAAGATAAGACTGATTTTGGCAAATCACATGTCCTCCAAGAAAATAGAGGGTGGGTGGGCGGGGCTAGCATTTGATAAGATAAAACTGATTTTGGCAAATCACATTCCCCCCAAGAAAAGAGAGGGTGGGTGGGCGGGGCTAGTATTTGATAAGATAAAACTAATTTTGGCACTTGACCACTCAACTATTTTCGAAAATTAGTGGAAATAATTTTATAGCCCCACCCACCCAGTTTTTATATTTTTATTTATTTCAAAATACTTGACAACTTTTTCCTCACTTTGCTGTCCATAGTATGTATGACTGTTACCTCTAAATGTACTGTACAACAGAGACTCCACAGTTTTAGGTATTGCTGTAGTCGATCTAAGTTTGTAAATACCTCCAAAATTTGAAGCCGTAACCCTAATTTCTCTTTCTTTTGCCCAAATGTGCTTGTTGCCTAGTGTCTATTTCAATTTGGTCTAAATTCAAAGATAATTTTCTCAAAAAAACCTCTTTGGCTGTCACAAATGTTTCTGCATCCATGACAGGATTTTCTAAAAAATATTTAAACCATAATTGCAGTCGGAACCAGCATGCGTAAATTTTTTTACGACATATTTTTTTACGAATACTTTGTCTAAGACGAGCTTGTTTTATAGACGAACAATATTTTTTTGTTATTAAACCAAGACCGTTTTAATCACAATATATTTACTTATCCCCTCTAAAAAATTGATGACGTCACCTCAAAATTTTGCTGAATAAATCCTATCTAAATTGTATAAAATATGATGAGTCTCTTCTTGTGATTTATCATTCCATTCATGTTTTTTGGATTTGCATATACAGGATGACCCCAAACATTAATGAATGCGTAAATTTATTTTATTGATTTAATCAGGAACTACTGAACCCAATGCTTTGAAATCTTGTAAACGTTTTAAGGTTATAAAGAGCATAATAAATTTTTAGTCAAAATATATTTGCTTATCCCCTCCAAAAAATTGATGACGTCAGCTCAAAAGTTTGCCGTATAATCCTATTTAAAGTTTACAAAATATGATGAGTCTCTTCTTGTAATTTATCATTTCATTCATATTTTTTGGATTCGGATATACAGGGTGACTCAAAAAATTTAATGAACACGCAAATTTATTTTATTGATTTAATCAGGAACTACAAAACCGAATGCTTTGAAATCTAATGTGAAAAAAAAACATAATAGGCATGCAGTCGTCACGTTTCCGATAGCGAGGGAAGTCTGTCTAAACTCTTTAAACCAATTTTTTTGATTTTCCCATTTTTCCATTTCTCAATTTTCAATGTTTCAGTTTGGGATTTTTTCACTGTTTCGATTTTTTAATTTTCCTTCCATTTTTAGGTTTTTCAATATTTCAGCTTTGGAATTTTGCAATATTTCGTTTCCTCAATTTTTCAAATTTTTGATATTGTGTTTTCGCGGTTTTTAAATTTTTCGATATTTTAATTTTTCAGTTTTTAAAGTTTTAGGTTTTTAGATTTCTCACTATCTCGACTTTTCGATTTGTCAGTTCCATGATTTTTCATTTTGTCGAATTTTTAAATTTTAGATTTTTTGTTCTCGACCATTCAATTTTCTGAGTTTTCAGGCTTAGATTTTTTTGTTGTTCAATTCTTGGATTTTTAAAATTTTTGTTTTTTAAATTTTCCTATTTATCAACTTACTGGGATTTCAATGTTTTGATTTCTTGATTGTTCAATTTCTCGATTTTTTGAATTTTTAGTTTTTGATGCGACTTTTTTTTCCGAAAATTTTCAGTTTTTCAATTTATTAATTTTACGATATTTCAGTTTATCGGCTTACCCAGAGATATGTAAAAGACAGATGCGGTTATAGCTTTCCCGATCTAGGGCCAACATCTATGATCTAAGAGTAGCAATACTTTGTATCGCCTATCCTTTTCTATATCAGCACCAGTACTATGGATTGCCAACTGTAGGCTACATCGATCACTCTCTAAAAGGTGGTTGTCTTGTTATTGGCCCGTTCTGATGGCGGCAATTATAAATAATCATAACCACCCACAGTCTGAGTGGTCTGACAGGGACCGGCACAAACACAAGAATGGCATCAACGACAAACGTTGCGCCAACTCTGATTGGTTGCGCCGTACAGAGCGAGACCTTCAGATATCGGGTTACCATTATACGTGCTAGAGAAAAAGAGGGAGATATAAACGTACAGTGACATTTTGGCCCTAAACGTATGTCCACGAGAACATTAAATATCTGTATCTAGTCTTTTACATATCTCTGGGCTTACCACGCTTTTAAGAAGAATTGCTGGTTGCATTTAAGGCAACAAATGGCGCCCAATTCAAACTTGTCTCTCGTCTAGCGTTCCCCCTTAAATAAAAATCATTATACCTTCAACTCCTGTATGTAGCTGCACATCCTCGTATCGATGACCTTCACAGTCCCGTCAGTCGTGGCCGCAATCACCAAACTAGATGGCGCTGGCAAGCTCTTCAAAACATTAACCGGTGGAAACTTCGGTGACTCCAAATGACCAACATTGACACCCATAAATGGATCCCAAATGTGCACCACACTGTCACAAGACGCCACAAGTCTCATACTTTCAATGAACGTAATCGACAGAACGGATTTCTTATGAGCTGTGTAAGTCCATTGACAGGTGGAGACACTCGAGCCGTCACCCTGGCTCCGCAACGACCACAACTTCACCGTCTTGTCTCTACTCCCAGAAATAAAACTATTCTCGTTGTCTAGGACATAGAGACACTTAACACTGTGGGTGTGACCTACACACAAAACAACTAACAATACAGACAGACAATCAATAAAAAGCGATGTCATTACCTGCGAAACTCTGCAACTTGATCTGTTTGAAGTTAAACATCGTGTCTTTATCCGAGCGCCCGATTTCGTGCTCCCAATACGCCAACCAGTTCCCCCTCAAGTGTCTACTATTATTCTCGAGCCGATTACTCACCAAACTCAGCACATCGGTGTTGATATTCTCCACGTCACCACTCTGCACGTCAATCCTATTCCCAATCAAAGCTATATTACTCCCTATACTACTCGACGCAGTGATCGTATTCTGACTGAACTCAGACGCTTGCAACTTCTGACTCGGGTAACTCAACTTCACCTCTTGCTCATACTCCTGACACAAGTCCTTAATCAAAGCGTGGTTCTTCAACGATATTTCCAGCGAACTCGCGCCGACGTGCTTCAGGAAGGGTAAATACGCGCTGTAAGCCAACTCCGGGGTGAAAACTCCCTTCAACTCCTCCAAGCTCTGCTCGGATATGTCGTCGTGCGGCAACGACGGCGAGTCCGCTATTTCGTTTCTGAGTCGCACGTTGGAGATTTGGATGGGGGTTCCTCCGATGGCCCACTCGTTGACTGAGCCGTCTCTGCACACTTCCAAGTAGTGCGATTCTTCGGGTTTGTGGTTTTTTTGGGAGGGGTCGTCGGGGTATGGGGATTCCTCGTTGGCGTAGATTTTGTCGAAGATGAGGAAGAATCTCTGGAGGGCTGGCACGGCTAGGTGGGTTCGGGTCATGTCGGAGCCCATGCGGATGGAGAGGACGTATAAGGTGTCGACGTATTTGCGAGCTAGAACGTTGCGGGCGGTGTAGCCGCTGGGGAAGGTGTATTTAGGGGACGAGAGGAGGCGGACGATTGGGTGGATTATGTTTTTTAGAATGACGTCCTGCAAGAAACGAAAGGAAGATATTAATTGGTTCCCTTTGAAAATGATCAGTTAAGCAACTATTATCGTAAATTAGAAGAGTGAAAGGGGATTTTGTGTTACCATTTGTGTTCTACAACTTAAATTTTGAATATTTATTGTCGGATATTCCTCTCACAGCGAAGTGTGTACCGAACATTATTGCGATTTTAACCATATTTAAGATGTTTTTTTATTGATGTAATGGGGAATTCGATTCACAATGTAATCTTGATTAATTAATTTTCGATTTATTGAATTTAACATCACATGTGAGGTGTCACGAAATTCTGGTTGCGTTACACTTTTTGATTGCGGACAAAAATCGTGGTTCTCCACGTAAAATAACTTTTTGTGCGATGTAACATAAAGCACTTTAATCGAGTACACAGTATATATTTTCTTAAAATCCCTACGTTCCTACAATCCTCAAAAACATGTTTTTTATTTATTGGAGAGAAATAAGGATTTTGTAATTAAGCTCCGCCCTCTTGGCTCACGACGAATAAAAAAATCATCACAATTGAGATAGGGCGGGTGGGCGGGCTTAGATTTTGCCTTTTGTTCTTAATATGTGTAGTCATCTGTTCACAACAAGAAATTTAGAACATGTTGAAAATGGTAAATTTGTATAGGGAAATATCGATTTTGCAATTACGCTCCGCCCCTATCATTTGGTTTTCTTTTTTAATTAGTATATTTAGTTTTCTTTGTATAACACGACTGCTTAAGAACATATTTCACATGGTAATTTCTCGTAGAAAAATCAGAATTTTACAATTAAGCTCTGTCCCTCGGCTCACGACGAATAAAAAAAATCATAAGAATTGAAATAGGGCGGGTGGGCGGGGCTTATACTTTGCCTTTTTTTCTTAATATAGATAGCCATCTTTTCACAACAAGAAACTTAAAACATGGTTGAATTGGTACATTTTTCAAAGAAATATGGATTTTCAATTATGGGGCGGCGCCTAATTGCAAAATCAATATTTCCTTATACAAATTTTCCATTTCAAACATGTTTTAAGTTTCTTGTTGTGAAAAGAAGTTTACACATATTAAAATACAAAGGCAAAATATAAGCCCCGCCCACCCTCCCTATCTCAATTGTGATAATTTTTTTTATTCGCCGAGAACCAAGGGGGCCGAGTTTATCTGCAAATTACTTATTTTTTTACAAAAAATTAAAAACATATTTTTGAGTATCGTGTTGTTCAAAAAATACTATGTATATTAAGAAAAAAAGGCAAAATATAAACCCCACCCACCCACCCTATCTCAATTGTGATATTTTTTTTTATTCTTAGAAACTTAAAGCACATTCAAAATGGTAAATTTTTGTTAAGAAAATATGGATTTTGCAATTAGGCTCCGCCCTTAGGTCTCCCAACCAATGGAAACTTCATTACTATTTAGATCAGGGCAGGTATGTATGGGTAGAGCTTAATATTTGCCTTTAATTTTTTCTTTAATATACTTAGTATTCTTTGAACAGCACAATACTTAAAAACATGTTTTTAATTTCTTTTAAAGAAATAAGTATTTTGCAGTTAAGCTCCGACTTCAGCTCACGACGAATAAAAAAAAATCATCACAATTGAGATAGGGTGAGTGGGCGGGGCTACATTTCGTCTTTTTTACTTCCCGAGCGTAAGCTAAGGAAGTATTGTAATCGAGTCCGTCGGCCGACTCTCTACTTTTACGTTTTCTCGATCTTTCATGACCCCTAGAAGACGAAGAAATAGGTCTCCCATTTCCGTCTGTCTGTCTGTCTGTCCGTTTGTCCGTCCGTCCGTCTGTAAGTCTGTCCGTCTGCCGTCCCGGATTTTTATTAGACAGATAATCTCCGAAAATACTCGACCGATTGTTGTGAAATTTTGTACTTATATTAAGAATATCATGTAGATGGTAAAACGCTAACCAAAATTTGTCTAATCATCCCCACCACTAATGCGATGACGTCACTTCAAAATTGTACATAGTAAATGGGTTTTCAATTGTATAAAATAACATAGTCCTACACATGTAGTTTACAACTCTGAATCGACTTTTCACCCGAAACGTCCAGATTTTTGGAAAAAAAATCAAAATTATAAAACAACATTTTGAAATTTAATTTTTAATCTGCTAACCAGAATGCTTTGAAATGTTGCAGATGTTTTAAGGCTATAAAGAGCATCATAAATCTTTAGTCAAAAAATATTTGCGTATCCCCTCCAAAAACTTGATGACGTCAGCTCAAAAGTTTGTGGAATAAATCATATCTAAAATGTACAAAATATGATGAGTCTGTACTTGTGATCTATCACTCCATTCATATTTTTTGGATTTGCATATACAGGGTGATTCAAGAAAATAAATGAAAGCGTAAATTTATTTTACTGATTTACTCAGGAACTACAAAACCGAATGCTCTGACATCTTGCAGATATTTTAAGGTTATAAAGAGCATAATAAATGTTTAGTCAAAATATATTTGGTTATCTTCTACAAAAAACTGATGACGTCAGCTCGAAAGTTTGCCGAATAAATCGTATCTAAAATGTACAAAATATGATGAGTCTGTACTTGTGATTTATCATTCCATTCATATTTTTGGATTTGCATATGCAGGGTGACTCAAAAAAATTAATGAAGGCGTGAATTTATTTTATCGACTTAATCAGGAATTACAAAACCGAATGCTTTGAAATCTTGGGAATATTTTAAAGTTATTATAAGCATGGTAAACTTTTGTTCAAAATGTATTTGTTCATCCCTCCTAAAAAATTGATGACGTCACCCTTAAATTTTGCTGAATAAATCCTATCTAAAATGCAAAAAATATTATGAGTTTGTACTTGTGATTATCATTTCATTCATATTTTTTAGATTTTCTTAAGAGGTGGTTCAAAAAAATTAATGAAGTCAATTTATTTTATTGATTAAATTAAAGGCAACACTTATTATTAGTATTACACCCCAACCAACCCAATTTGGTAGACACAAAATTTGTTAAAGGAAAAACTCGGTTGAAACATAAGGGTAGCACGCTTATTTACATCGACTTTAACATTACAGACCTGTATTTGTTTTATGCGCTCACTTGGTTTCGCGAATGTGGAATAGACATGTTTATAATCAACCAATTGTGAATTTCACCATCAAGAATTAAAATAAAACCCAATGTTTTATATAATAAGCGGAAGTCGAAGCAATAAAACCGATGGTCGTTTTGTTTACAGTTTCTCTGTTTGACTCTCACGTATGCTGTTACGCTTGTCATCTTAAATTAAGAATGTTTATACATAAACGATTTTCAGTTGCCTTTCATATTACTAGACAGCGGATTTTTGTCGGGCTACGTCACGTTTAATCGGTACTAATTCCATAAATATAATTAACGATTTATTAATCAAACGGCTAAGTAAATGAGAACGGGAATTAACAGCAGAGTGCAACGAAACAGCGTTATTCTAATCTCATGTAAACGAAGTGCAGTCCGCAACAGCAATGAATTCGCATCCCGTACGAGCCGTACCGAGTTTGGCCTTGCCTAGCCCGACAGAAATTCGCTCTCTAGATATTACAAACCGACACCGTATACGTGAGTAAATTGTTTCGTTATTTTATTGATTATAAGAAATCAATATTCAAAACGACCCAATTCATTTTCCCGAAAATTTGGAAATACAATAATTTTATTCTTAGTATTACACTACATCTATCCCAACTGATATACGTGTCCTTGAAAAAATGTTGATGACGTCATTACAATTTTTTTTTAATTCCCACTACAAAAATGTAATGAGAAAAAAAAACACAATAGGCATGCAGTCGTCAAGTTTCCGACAGCGAGGGAAGTACTGTCTAAACTCTTTAGACCAATTTTTTTTTTCTTAATATACATAGCCATCTTTTCACAACAAGAAACTTAAAACATTTGTAACCTGTCATTTAAAAGCATCGTTTTATTGTTTGAACGTTTTTCGAATGCGAATTACAGTAATTTTCGTTGATTCAAGCTCAAAACAACAAAACAGTTGTTTTCAAACCTCTTGGTGGTTGCGTACGAAAATTGTGTTTTGGTGCTAGAAAGCGAAGACTGTGAAAATGGTTTACTCTGTTGAACTAGACACTTCTTTCATCGTTATGTCTTGTTATCGTAATGGGACTTCAGAAACGAAGCTGTATCCTGTAACCGCCTGTAAGCAAGAATATCTGGCCAAATACTGTGATTTAATAATTCAAGAAATATCGTTAAAGGCCCACATTAGAGACGTAATCAACAGATTTGTTCGAACTGGCAGTATGAACAAAGAAAAAGCTCGTGAAAAACTGCATCTGAGGAAATTGTTGATGATCTGAACAACGGGTCCAAAGTATTGACGAAAGGATGTTACAGAACATTTTTGAAATTAAAAAGAGAGTGAACATGTGCGTTGAACAGCGTCCTTGGGCACTTGTACGGATCTCCGTACAGTTAAATCGGAGAGGCGGCACGTTTACATGACCTACTGCGACCCTATAATCATTTATAGAAACCCTGTACAACCCCTTTAAAAATACGGCAAAAGTTGAACAGCAAAGTTACTATCAATGGCAACTTGGCAACGAAGTTTATAAATGCAAAAAATAAAAAAACAAAGTCAAAATTGTGAAAAGATTTCTGGAGAAACTTGACAATCCTAGGTTTTACCGAACCAAGACTTTTTGATTTCAAATTCACAATTTCATCTCAACAAATTAAATTTTTTTAAAGTAATTAATACAAAAATCGACACTAATTTCTGTAATAAATATTACTTTGATAATTGAGATAGGGCGGGTGGGCGGGGCTTATATTTTGCCTTTTTTTTTCTTAAAATACATAGCGATCTTTTCACAACAAGAAACTTAAAATATGGTTAAAGTGATACATTTTTGTAAGGAACTATGGATTTTGCAACTATGGGCGGAGCAGAAACTTTCCATTTTAAACATGTTTTAAATTTCATGTTGTGAAAAGAAGTCTACACATATTAAAACAAAAGGGCAAAGATAAGCCCACCCACCCGCCCTGTCTCAATTGTGATGATTTTTTTTTATTCGTCGTTAACCAAGGGGGCGGAGCTTAACTGCAAAATACTTATTTCTTTGCAAGGAATTACATGTTTTTGAGTATCTTGTTGTTCAAAGAATACTGTGTATATTCAGAAAAAAAAAGGCAAAATATAAACCCCGCCCACCCACCCCATCTCATTTGTGATGATTCTTTTTATCCTTGTAAATTTAAAACGGGTTTAAAATGGTAAATTTTTGTAAGGAACTATGGATTTTGCAATTATGGGCGGAGCAGAAACTTTTCATTTTAAATATGTTTTAAGTTTCATGTTGTGAAAAGAAGTCTATGCATATTAAAACAAAAGGGCAAAAGATAAGCCCACCCACCCGCCCTGTCTCAATTGTGATGATTTTTTTTTATTCGTCGTTAACCAAGGGGGCGGAGCTTAACTGCAAAATACTTATTTCTTTACAAGGAATTACATGTTTTTGAGTATCTTGTTGTTCAAAGAATACTGTGTATATTCAGAAAAAAAGGCAAAATATAAACCCCGCCCACCCACCCCATCTCAATTGTGATGATTCCTTTTATTCTTATAAATTTAAAACGGGTTTAAAATGGTAAATTTTTGTAAGGAACTATGGATTATGCAATTATGGGCGGAGCAGAAACTTTTCATTTTAAATATGTTTTAAGTTTCATGTTGTGAAAAGAAGTCTATGCATATCAAAACAAAAGGGCAAAAGATAAGCCCACCCACCCGCCCTGTCTCAATTGTGATGTTTTTTTTTATTCGTCGTTAACCAAGGGGGCGGAGCTTAACTGCAAAATACTTATGTCTTTGCAAGGAATTACATGTTTTTGAGTATCGTGTTGTTCAAAGAATACTGTGCATATCAAGAAAAAAAAGGGCAAAATATAAACCCCGCCCACCCACTCCATCTCAATTATTATGATTTTTTTTCTTATAAACTTAAATATTTTACCTTTTTTCTTAATATACGTAGTCATGTTTTCAGAACAAGAAACTTGAAACATGTTTGAAATGCTAAATTCTTCTAGACAAATATGGATTTTGCAATTAAGCTCCGCCCCTCCATCTGACAACGAATGAAAACCCATCACAATTGTGAATTGAGATTGGGGTGAGTGTGGGTGGGGTCTAATCTTTAGCTTATTTTTGTGTTAATATACATTGTATTTTTTGAACAACACGATACCCAAAAACTTGTTTTTAATTTCTCGTAGAGAAATAAGGATTTTGCAGTTAAGCATCGCCCTCTTGGCACACCACGAATGAATAAAATCATCACAATTGAGATGGGGCGGGTGGGCGGGACAACATTTTGCCTCTTTTTTCTCAACATATGTAGACTTACTTCGGCAACAAGAAACTTAAAACATGTCTAAAATTTAATACGGCAAAAGTTGAACATCAAAGTTACTAGCAATGGCAACTTGGCAACGGAGTTTATAAATGCAATTTGTTCAACGTCAACAGCAAGTTTATAAATCCCACTTAAGTTTTACAGAACTAATAAAAAAAAAATTGATTTTGCAATTATGGTGCGGAGGCTAATTGCAAAATCAATATTTCTTTATATTTTCCATTTCAAACATGTTTTTAGATTCTTGTTGTGAAAAGAAGTCTACACATATTAAAATAAAAAGGTAAAATATAAGCCCGCCCACCCGCCCTGTCTCAATTGTGATGATTTTTTTTATTCGCCGAGAACCAAGGGGGCCGAGCTTAACTGCAAAATATTTATTTCTTTACAAAAAGTTAAAACCATGTGTTTGAGTATCGTGTTGTTCAAAAAATACTATGTATATTAAGAAAAATATGCAAAATATAAAACCCCGCCCACCCACCCCATCCCAATTGTGATGATTTTTTTTTCTTAGAAACTTAAAACTCGTTTAAAATGTTTTTAAAAACTTTTGTAAGAAAATGTGGATTTTGCAATTAGGCTCCGCCCTTAGGTCTGCCAACGAATGAAAACTTCATTACTATTTAGATCAGGTTGGGTATGTATGGGTGGAGCTTAATATTTGCCTTTAATTTTTTCTTTAATATACTTAGTATTCTTTGAACAGCACAATACTTAAAAACCTGTTTTTAATTTCTTTTAAAGAAATAAGTATTTTGCAGTTAAGCTCCGCCCTCTTGGCTCACGACGAATAAAAAAAATCATCACAATTGAGATAGAGTGGGTGGGCGGGGCTACATTTCGTCTTTTTTCTTAATATGTGTAGACTTATTTCGACAATCAGAAACTCAAACCATGTCTAAAATGGTAAATTTTTGAAGTGATCAGTTTAAATCTTGCACTTTGAGCATCAAAGCTACTATCAACGTCAACTTGGCAACGGAGTTTATAAATGACAATTTTCAGGTCTAAAAGCAACAAGAAGTTTATAAAATCCCACTTTAGAGTTTGGTTTGGCCTAGCAAACGTGTTCATTCGTTGACACAATGTCATTTTGACAATCAGGTAGGCCATCATAAAATTTCAAATAGGTCGCCAACCTGACAAAAAAATTACAAATTATGTGTCGATACCGGGTGACTATTATCGATTGCGGCAAATTTTTGTGTTGGTAATTCTGAATTTTTGGCAGTAACGTTAAAATATCAGTTCACAGTTGTCAACTTTGACAGAAGTGCGCCTAACGCGATTTAGAAACGTGATGAGAAGATGACTCAATAGTGATCACTAGAAAGTAATCTTCACTTGGTGCCCTATATTTCACTTTGACAATCAGGTACGCCATCATAAAATTTAAAATTGTTTGCCAACCTGACAAAAAAAATCACAATCATTAATAGTCACTCGGTATATTATAAGCTGTGTCTTTACTTTGAGAAAAAAGAAAAATGTCTTGGGTTTTAGTACATATTTTGAAAACAAAAATTTGGTGCAATGTATAACAAAGTCATTTTTTGTTGGTTTTGTAAAAAATGGATAAAATTTTTGCAGGTCCCCTGGGAAAAAATGGTCTAGAGATATTTATGCAGACCAGTTTTTCTAATATTTGTCCGGGAGATGAACTCTCCCCCTTAAAAACTGATGACGTCACCTCAAAATTTTGCTGAATAAATACTGCAAAATATGATGAGTCTATATTTGTGATTTATCATTGCATTAATATTTTTTAGATTTGCTTTCTAGTTTTTAAATTTTAATATCTCAAATTTTTGGATTCGTTAATTTTTCGTTTCTTCATATTTTCGATTTGCAATTTTTCGTTTCGGTTTTTGATTTTCCTTGGTTTTTCAATTTTCGGTTTTTCAGTATTTTGATTTTATAATTTTTCATCAATTTTAAGTTTAAATTATTCAGTTTTTCAATTTTTCGATTCTTTCATTTTTCATTTCTGCAAATTTTCGATTTACAATTTTTCGTTGTTTTTTATTTTCTTAATTTTTACAAGTTTTCGATTTTTCAATATTCCGAATTTATAATTTTTTGTTTTTTCACTTTCAATTTTTCGTTTCTTCAATTTTTCAATTTACTATTTCAGGAGTTTTCAATTTCTAATCTTTTAGTTTTAGATTTTCCAACTTTTGAATTTTTCCAATTTCCAGATTTTGCAATTTTTCATTTCAAAATTTTTAGTTTTCAATTTTTCGATTATTTAATTTTTCATTTCTTCAATTCAAATCGATCTTAGCTTAGCAGGCACTAAGGTACTCGAAAAAATTGATGACTGAGTTAATTTATTTTATTGGTTAAATCAAGAATTGCAAAAACTGAATACTTTGAAATCTTGCAGACGTTTTAAAGTTATTGTAAGAATGGCCAATTTTTTTCGTAATATTTGTCCGGAAGACGAACTTATGTATTTTGTGAAATAAATTTTTAAAGTCCCTCGTACAATCAGATTTTTTTAATGTAATAATTTTTTCCCCAACAGTGTCTTCTTCGAAAATCTAAATGTCCAAGGTTAAAACTACAAGTACAAAAGCATACTTTTTATAAAGCCTAGCAAAACTTTAAAATGACGTCATTAAATTGTTGGAGGGAACAAACAAATTTTTGTTTAGGGTTTTAACCAATTACACGACTGTCTTGAACTACACCAAAAATTCCTTGCCAAACGAAGAGAAAACATGAAATTAGCCATTCGTCACATGGTTTCTACTACAAAAATTAAATAATGCATTTTTATGGGTTTCAATATGCCAAACATATTTAAAAAAAACCTTTATTTGCAGTGAGGAGACAAAAGTATGAAGAAAACTGTCAGAACTACTGCCACTTGAGACAATTCTGGCTCCAGAAAGAACTTGGTTAAAATGCGTAAGATTTCTAAATGTTCGGTCGTTGACGAAAATGTGGGGTTACGAATCTTCTTTACAAACTGGAATATAGGGTTGCCTAACCTGTAAGTCAATATTGCGCAGTTCGTGTTTACACCAGTTAAATTATTGCTGCGTTCCCACCAGCTCGTGACTTACATGTCATTTTATGGTGTTTGTGGTAGGTTATGTTGATTTCGTAATCATAAACAAGCGATTGATTGACGTGTAATAATGAAAAATTCTGAATCACCTTTAGTTTCGTGGAACATCACCTAGTATAATAAGGAAGGTGTTCACATACCGTACGATTATTGCACGTTAGGTAAGGAACAGTTGCAATTATTTTTCATTGGATTTAGATTACAATTTGATTAGTTAGGTTAGTTTGTCACGCAACAGTTAATTGCCAAGCTTTGTCTCCGAAAATATTACAAAATAAAAATAAACAAGCTTGTTTTCAAAGATTACGACAAAAAATAAACTGGTCATTCTAATCAATGAAGTCAATCATCGACATGATGAAGGTTTGTGAGCGAAACAGGTACCAACTTGTTTTGTAATTATTTATTAGACAAGAATGTTGCGAAAGTATGTGTAAATGGCAATTTACGTACCTATTCGAAATTTAATCACAAAATATACTAGTAAATGCAAATTGATAATTTTAAAAAATAAAAACAACTTCCAACCGAAAAGGGTCCCAGAAGACGATTCTAAAGCAGATTGAATTATTATTTAAATTGAATTATTTTTTAAATTTAGGCATTTGTGTGTCTACAGTATTCTTGTTGTTAGGCGGAAGAAAACGCATTTATCTTATCAGTAAATAAGCCGCTTCGCTGAGTAAATACAAGAAGTGGGAAAGCAATGAGAGATATACTGCCTATGACGGTGAATTTATATTTTTAACGACGCGTTTTACTTTCGACAAATTGGCACTAGATTTACCAGAATATTACAAGCTGCTTACTGTTTCCTTCACTTCATTCAGGTCACACGAATTACAGTTCGTCGTTTGAAAACTTGTTTGATATACAAACCAGAGCGCACTCAGGCCAATGTCGACTCTAAGCGTTCGGAAACGATTTGATTTATAAGCCATGATCCGTGATCTTGATACACATCCTAACTTATAATTTCTTGTTGTTTCAACTTTTCAATTCTAAGATTTTCGAAATTTTAGTTTGGGGACTTTTCAGTTTACTCCTATTTATTATTCAATTTTTGGATTTTACAGCTTCTCAATTTTTCTATTTGTCGGTTTTCAGTTTTTCTCTTCAATTTTACGAAATATTTAAATTTCGATTTTTCAATTTTTGACTTTTATAAACTCTTTATTTGTCGATTTTTCACTTAATTGATTTTTCAGGTTTTTTGGCTTTCAATTTTTCTATTTTTTAGATATTCAGTTTTAGGATTTTTACATTATTCAATTTTTCGATCTTACGATTTTGCAAGTTTTTGATTTTTCAATATTTCGATTTTTTAAACTTTCGATATTTCGACTTCACTTTTTTGATTTTTCGATTGTTTAGATGCTCAGTTTTTGGATATTTCAGTTTTGGTATTTTTCAGTTTTTCGATTCGTCAGTTTTTCTTTCATTTTTCAGTTTTTCAATATTTCAGTTTTGGAATTTTTCAATATTTCTGTTCTTCGACTTTTCCATTTTTGACTTCTCAATTTTTTAGTATTTTAATTTTTCAATATTTAAAATTTTAGATTTTTCGGTGTCTCGATTTTTCATTTCAGCTCTTCCGTATTTCAATTTTTCAAATGTTTCGATTTCATATTCTTTCGATTTTTCGACTTCCCGGTTTTAGATTTTTTGTTTTTCAATTGTCGTTTTTTCAAATTTTCGATTTTTCAATTTTTCAAATTTAACTTTTATAAACTCTCAATTTTTTGATTTTTCAATTAATGAATGTTTTGATTTTCCCATTTATTGACCTTCGGGTGTTTCGATTTTCTTGTTCTTCAATTCTTTAATTTTTCGATTTTTCATTTTTAGTTTTTTTAAGGTTTCGATTTTTCGACTTCACTTTTTGGATTTTTCGATTGCTCAATTTTACGACTTTTTAGGTTCTCAGTTTTTGGATATTTCAGTTTTCGGATTTTTCAGGTTTGTCATTTTTCCGTTTTTCTTTCATTTTTCAGTTTTTCGATATCTCAGTTTTGGGATTTTTCAATATTTCGATTATTCGACTTTTCGATGTGTCGACTATTTTACTTTTCCGATTTTTCAATTTTTGATTTTTTAATTTTTAAAATTTTAGATTTTTCGATTTGTCGATTTTTCAGTTCAGCTCTTCCATATTTCAAATTTTCAAGTTTTCGAATTTTTCAAATGTTTCGATTTCTTAATCTTTTGATTTTTCGACTTCCCCGTTTTGGATTTTATGTTTTTCAATTGTCATTTTGTCAAATGTTCGATTTTTTAATTTTTCAAATTTTCGATTTTTCAATTAATCGATGTTTTGATTTTCCCATTTCTTGCCCTTCGAGTGTTTCGATTTTCCTGTTCTTCAATTCTTTAATTTTTTGATTTTTCAGGTTTTTGGTTCTTCAATTTTTGGATTTTTAAGGTTTCTATTTTTCGACTTCACTTTTTTGATTTTTCGATATTTCAGTTTTAGGATTTTTCAATATTTCAATTCTTCGGTTTTTCTATTTTTGACCTCTGGATTTTTCGATGTGTGATTTTTTTTACTTTCTCGAATTCTTAATCTTTCGATTTTTCGACTTCCCGGGTTTAGACTTTCTGATTCCAATTATCGTTTTTTTCAAATTTTCGATTTTTTCATTTTTTGTTTTTTAAATTTTTCAATTTTTCAATGTTTTGATTTCCCGATTTAGTTTCCCATTTTTCAGTTTTTCTTTCATTTTTCAGTGTCGAATTTTCAATTTTTCGATTTTTCAATTTTTAAAATTTTAGATTTTTCGATTTCTCGATTTTTCATTTCAGTTCTTCGATATTCCAATTTTTCAAGTTTTCGAATTTTTCAGGTGTTTCGATTTCTGAATCTTTTGATTTTAGATTTTCTGTTTTTCAAATGTCGTTTTTTCAAACTCTCAATTTTTCGATTTTTCAATTAATCGATGTTTTGATTTTCCCATTTCTTGAATTTCGAGTGTTTCGATTTTCCTGTTCCTCAATTCTTTAGGTAATTTTTTGATTTTTCAGGTTTTTGATTTTTCAATTTTTCGATTTTTTAAGGTTTCTATTTTTCGATTTCACTTTTTTCTTTTTCGATTTTTCGACTTTTCTATTTTCGACTTCTGTATTTCAATATTTAAAATATTAGATTTTTCGATTTGTCAATTTTTCATTTCAGTTCTTCGATACTTCAATTTTTCATGTTTTCGACTTCCCGGTTTTAGATTTTCTGTTTTTAAATCGTCGTTTTTTCAAAATTGCGATTTTTCAATTTTTCAAATTTGACTTTTATAAACTCTCAACTTTACAATTTTTCAATTAATCGATGTTTTGATTTTCTCATTTCTTGACCTTCAAGGGTTTCGATTTTCCTGTTCATCAATGCTTTAATTTTTCCATTTTTCATTTTTTTGGTTTTTGAGGTTTCGATTTTTCGACTTCACTTTTTTGATTCTTCAATTTCTCAATTTTTCGACTTTTTAGATTCCTAGATTTTGGCTATTTCAGTTTTCGGAGTTTTCAGTTTTTCCATTTTTCAGTTTTTTTTCATTTTTCAATTTTTCGATATTTCGATTCTTCGATTTTTCGATTTTTGACATCTGAATTTTTCGATTTCTTAATCTTTCAGTTTCTTGGCCTTCCCGGTTTTAGATTTTTTGTTTTCAATTGTCAATTTTTTCAGTTTATTAATTTTTCGTTTTTTCAATGTTTTGATTTCCCGATTTAGTTTCCCATTTTTCAATATTTCGCTTCTTCGACTGTTCGATTTTTGACTCCTGGATGTGTCAAATTTTCAATTTTTCGATTTTTAAATTTTTAAAATGTTATATTTTTCGATTTATCGATTTTTCATTTCAGTTCTTCGATATTTCAATTTTCCAAGTTTTCTAATTTTCAATAATTAATCGATGTTTTAATTTTATCATTTCTTGACCTTCTAGTATTTGGATTTTCCTTATCTTCAATTCTTCAATTTTTCGATTTTTCCGGTTTTTGATTTTTCAATTTTTCGACTTCACTTTTTGATTTTTTGATATTTCAGTTTTGGGACTTTTCAATATTTCCATTCTTCGACTTTTCTATTTTTGACTTTTAGATTTTTCGATGTGTGATTTTTTTACTTTCTCGATTTCTTAATCTTTCGATTTTTTGACTTCCCGGTTTTAGACTTTCTGTTTTCAATTATCGTTTTTTTCAAATTTTCGATTTTTAAATTTTTTGTTTTTTAAATTTTTCAATTTTTCAATGTTTTGATTTCCCGATTTAGTTTCCCATTTTTCAGTTTTTCTTTCATTTTTCGATTTTTCAATTTTTAAAATTTTAGATTTTTCGATTTCTCGATTTTTCATTTCAGTTCTTCGATATTCCAATTTTTCAAGTTTTCGAATTTTTCAGGTGTTTCGATTTCTGAATCTTTTGATTTTAGATTGTCTGTTTTTCAATTGCCGTTTTTTCAAACTCTCCATTTTTCGATTTTTCAATTAATTGTTGTTTTGATTTTCCCATTTCTTGAGTTTCGAGTGTTTCGATTTTCCTGTTCCTTAATTCTTTAGGTAATTTTTTGATTTTTCAGGTTTTTGATTTTTCAATTTTTCGATTTTTTAAGGTTTCTATTTTTCGATTTCACTATTTTCTTTTTCGATTTTTCTATTTTCGACTTCTGGATTTCTCGATTGTTCGAATTTTCGACTCCACGATTTCTAGATCTTTTGATTTTTCGATTTCTCGGTTTTTCGATTTTCCAGTTTTGCGATGTTTCGATTTTCCTGTTCTTCAATTCTTTAATTTTTTGATTTTTCAGGTTTTTGATTTTTCAATTGTTCAATTTTTTAAGATTTCGATATTTCGACTTTACTTTTTTGATTTTTCGATTTCTCAATTTTTCGACTTTTTAGATTCTCAGTTTTGGGATTTTTTAGTTTCTCGATTCGACAGTTTTTCTTTCATGCTTCAGATTTCGATATTTTTCGAGATTTTTCAATCTTTTGATATTTTAATTTTTCAATATTTCTTAATCTTTCGATTTTTCAACTTCCTGGTTTTAGATGTTCTGTATTTCAATTTTTCGATTTGTCAGTTTTTCAATTTTTTATTTTGGCCTATTTCGGTTTCTCAGTTTTTCCAGTTTTCCATTTTTTTGTTTTTTGAATTTTCCGCTTTTAACTTTTTATTCGTCGATGTCTCTATTTTTCGATTTTTCGACTTCATCACTTTTCGATTTCTCGTTCTTTTGATCTTTCAATCTCTCAATTTTTCAAGTTTTCGAATTTTTAAGTTTTTTGATTTCTCGATTTATCGAGATTTGGATTTTTCGATATTTTGATTGTCAATTTCTCAATTTATAAATTGTTCAATTTAACTTTTCGATTTTGGCCTATTTCGGTTTCTCAATTGTTCGACTTTTCGACTCCACCATTTCTTGATCTTTTGATTTTTAGATTTCTCGGTTTTTCTATTTTTCAGTTATCCGATTTATTAAATTTGGAAGTTTCGATTTCTCGATTTTTCTTTATTCGGTTTTTAAATTTTAGATTTTTGAATTTTACATTTTTTCGGTTTTTCGATTTTTCAATTATTAGATTTTAGAGAAATTATAGTCCAAACCAACCAAATCGGTTCTGAACGCTTAGAGTCGACATTGGCCTGAGCGCGCTCTGGTCTGTAGATCAAACAAGTTCTCAGGCGACGAGTTGTAGTGAAACAACCTGTATGTCGCATCTATATTAATCTATGATATAACCGAAAAAAAAACTAGTAGGCCGTGCAATTTATTTTTAAAATAATGATGTTGGCAAAACCCACGTGCTCCTGGTTCAGTCGGACGGACACATTATATAATTTATTCCAAAATCAAAAAACCACTACATATAGAATAATACAAAGAAACTTGTCAATAAAAATTAAATAATCACGGTTTACTCGAATAAATCACAAAACGTTGCCAGTTGCATTTTCAAAGAAATTGCGGTGTTGGTGAATTTTTGATTTTTCTTTCAGGCAAAAATCTTCGATGTTTGTCTAAAGCACCGACAAGATACACAATGTTAGACCTCCGTCAACTGATAGCAGAAGGCGTCGACGACCGCCTCAAGTGTTTCGTTTGCACCAACTACTTATCACATTTCCCTTTATTTCTCTGCTCAAACAACAAAAGCCTCTGCGGCCGTTGCGCCATCCCCGCAGGCACAATCTGCTTCGAAAACGAGGCCTTGGAAACCATCTGCCAATTTTCTAAATTTCCATGCCGCTACCAATCAGAAGGTTGCTGCGAAGAGCTCCTCCCCGAGTTTATCCCCGAACACGAACAAACCTGTTCATTCCGAACAGTATCCTGCATCATCAGTCAAGCCATGGCTTGTAACTGGAAGGGTTGTCTCCAAAGTATGTTACACCACTGTCGCAACCAACACTCGAATTTCATTTTACCCAACGGCGAACTGTCCCTAGACTTATCAGTTTCGGGAACGCAAGGCAATTTAATCGAATACGACAACAAAATGTTCATAGTGACGCGCACATTTGATTTCAAAACCAAGATTTTACAGTGCGTTGTTTACTATAATCCGTACGAACGCGACGTCAAGAACCTTCCGGTTCAGTTGAGTGTTCGCAATGGTAATAAGACCACGATGGTTGATTTTACGACGACTAGGTTTGACGAAACACAACCTAGCTTGATGGAGTTGTGTCTTTCGCACGTTTTAGACCACGACGATTTGAATGCGTCGATTGTGACGACGATTAGTATTGGGACGCATCAAGTCAGTGGCAACTCGTTAAAAGACGAAAAAATCAACAATGGGGAAATGTTGGCGTTTCTTAAGTGTTGTCACTGCACGAAGTTGCCGTGCCTCCGATTTATCGTTGTTCGAAAAACACGAATGCTTTGTGTGCTTCGTGTAGATCCAGCCATACAAGGATTTGTAACGAGAGACTACCTAACTGTGAACCTTCCGAGTACGTTATATTGAATAAAACCGCAGCTTTGTTGCAGTATCCATGCAGTTACCAGAACAATGGTTGTTCGGGAGTTTTCTACTGTCAACAGATACGAGTCCACGAAAAGTACTGCGAATTTGCCACCGAATTGTGTCCTTTTAAAATTTACAAGACGTGTAAATGGAAAGGTTTGAGAAAAGATTTGGATCAACATATTTTGAGTAGTCATGGAGATATTGTGTCGGATTCCAAAGACGAGATATTCCACTGGGAGCCAAACCGGTCGACTTTAACCCACAAAGTTATCATTTTTTCGGGGCGACTATTCCGACTGTCGTATTGTAAAGACGACGACGCTTATAAATGGGCTGCGCAAACAATCACCCCGTCTAAAAACAGCTTCATGTACGAAATTGACTTTGTAGATTAACGCAGAGGTCGCAACCTGCTCATATCAAGACAACATTGCGGAAGACTAACACACGAAAGTAAAATCTTTTCAGCACTTAATTGTTTCAAGTTGTTTGAAGAACAGCTGAGACATGTTAAAGACTTCATGAATCAGACTGTAGATTTTAGGGTGCATATTTTTAATTAAGTAACTTTTGTCATTTTATTACTTTTATATTGTATGTTTTAAAGACAAAATATAGTTGTGTTGAACGAGTTGCCTACGCACTTTATTTAATAATAATAATAATAATAATAATACTAATAATATGTTTATTGCCCAACAGCTCATATGAACCTATTACAGAGCAATTGACACAAACTAAAGTATTATCAATACAAAAAAATTGGTCTAAAGAGTTTAGACAGTACTTCCCTCGCTGTCGGAAACTTGACGACTGCATGCCTATTGTGTTTTTTTTCTCATTACATTTTTGTAGTGGGAATTTAAAAAAAAATTGCGATGACGTCATCAACATTTTTGCAAGGACACGTATATCAGTTGGGATAGATGTAGTGTAATACTAAGAATAAAATTATTATATTCTCAAATTTTCGGGAAAATGAATTGGGTCGTTTGGAATATTGATTTGTAATAATCAATAAAAGAACGAAACAATTTACTCACCTATACGTATCAGAGGCAACTGAAAATCGTGTATGTATAAACATTCTTAATTTAAGATGACAGGCGTAACAGCATACGTGAGAGTCAAACAGAGAAACTGTGAACAAAACGACCATCGGTTTTATTGCTTCGACTTCCGCTTATTATATAAAACATTGGGTTTTATTTTAATTCTTGACGGTGAAATTCACAATTGGTTGATTATAAACATGTCTATTTCACATTCGCGGAACCAAGTGAACGCATAAAACAAATGCAGGTCTGTAATGTTAAAGTCGATGTAAATAAGCGATGCTACCCTTATGTTTCAACCGAGTTTTTCCTTTAACAAATTTTGTGTCTACCAAATTGGGTTGGTTGGGGTGTAATACTAATAATAAGTGTTGCCTTTAATTTAATCAATAAAATAAATTGACTTCATTAATTTTTTTGAACTACCTCTTAAGAAAATCTAAAAAATATGAATGGAATGATAAATCACAAGTACAAACTCATCATATTTTTTGCATTTTAGATAGGATTTATTCAGCAAAATTTAAGGGTGACGTCATCAATTTTTTTAGGAGGGATGAACAAATACATTTTGAACAAAAGTTTACCATGCTTATAATAACTTTAAAATATTCCCAAGATTTCAAAGCATTCGGTTTTGTAATTCCTGATTAAATCGATAAAATAAATTCACGCCTTCATTAATTTTTTTGAGTCACCCTGCATATGCAAATCCAAAAATATGAATGGAATGATAAATCACAAGTACAGACTCATCATATTTTGTACATTTTAGATACCATTTATTCGGCAAACTTTTGAGCTGACGTCATCAGTTTTTTGTAGAAGATAACCAAATATATTTTGACTTAAAATTTATTATGCTCTTTATAACCTTAAAACATCTGCAAGATTTCAAAGCATTCGGTTTTGTAGTTCCTGATTAAATCAATAAAATAAATTTACGCATTCATTAATTTTTTTGAGTCACCCTGTATATGCAAATCGAAAAAATTTGAATGGAATGATAAATCACAAGAAGAGACTCACCATATTTTGTACATTTTAAATAGGATTTATTCAGCAAAATTTTGTGGTGACGTCATACATTTTTTAGGGGGGACGACCAAATACGTTTTGATCAAAAATTTACCATGCTTATGATAATTTTAAAATATCTTCAAGATTTCGAAGCATTCGGTTTTGTAGTTCCTGAGTAAATCAGTAAAATAAATTTACGCTTTCATTTATTTTCTTGAATCACCCTGTATATGCAAATCCAAAAAATATGAATGGAGTGATAGATCACAAGTACAGACTGATCATATTTTGTACATTTTAGATATGATTTATTCGGCAAATTTTCGAGCTGACGTCATCAAGTTTTTGGAGGGGATAAGCAAATATATTTTGACTAAACATTTATTATGCTCTTTATAACCTTAAAACATCTGCAAGATGTCAGAGCATTCCGTTTTGTAGTTCCTGATTAAATCAATAAAATATATTTACGCATTAATTAATTTTTTTGAGTCACTCTTTATATGCAAATCCAAAAAATATGAATGGAGTGATAAATGACAAGTACAGGCTCATCATATTTTGTACATTTTAGATATGATTTATTCGGCAAACTTTCGAGCTGACGTCATCAAGTTTTTGGAGGGGATAAGCAAATATATTTTGACTAAACATTTATTATGCTCTTTATGACCTTAAAACATCTGCAAGATTTCAGAGCATTCGGTTTTGTAGTTCCTGATTAAATCAATAAAATATATTTACGCATTCATTAATTTTTTTGAGTCACCCTGTATATGCAAATCCAAAAAATATGAATGGAGTGATAGATCACAAGTACAGACTCATCATATTATGTACATTTTAGATATGATTTATTCCACAAACTTTTGAGCTGACGTCATCAAGTTTTTGGAGGGGATAAGCAAATATTTTTTGACTAAAGATTTATGATGCTCTTTATAGCCTTAAAACATCTACAACATTTCAAAGCATTCTGGTTAGCAGATTAAAAATTAAATTTCAAAATGTTGTTTTATAATTTTGATTTTTTTTCCAAAAATCTGGACGTTTCGGGTGAAAAGTCGATTCAGAGTTGTAAACTACATGTGTAGGACTATGTTATTTTATACAATTGAAAACCCATTTACTATGTACAATTTTGAAGTGACGTCATCGCATTAGTGGTGGGGATGATTAGACAAATTTTGGTTAGCGTTTTACCATCTACATGATATTCTTAATATAAGTACAAAATTTCACAACAATCGGTCGAGTACTTTCGGAGATTATCTGTCTAATAAAAATCCGGGACGGCAGACGGACAGACAGACGGACGGACAGACGGACAGACAGACGGAAATGGGAGACCTATTTCTTCGTCTTCTAGGGGTCATGAAAGATCGAGAAAACGTAAAAGTAGAGAGTCGGCCGACGGACTCGATTACTTAAAGCTAAATACTTAAGATCTTTTAGATTTATATTAAAAATGTCACAATCTCTCAGTTTGTTGTTAAAATTACTACACATAACATTAATCGGGCTTTTTACCAAAATATTTGTGCGAGCGGTGGATAGATGCCAAGGTAAAGAGTGTCTGTTATTTACACGTGGTACATGAAAGAAGATTTTGGCCAAAAGTTCACTGCAGTCAATTTTATAATTGACGATTTTAAAAAGAAACATTACAGCACTAACTTCTCTTCTAGCATGTAAAGACGGTATATTAAACTCTCTTTGAAGTATCAAATTGTCACATCCTCTAGCAGGGTAGGTGCCATGTTTTTTAAACCATAAATATTTAAGAAATTTTTTTTGAACTGATTCGATGACATTAATATAGCAATAATAGATTGGATACCAAATTAGGCAACCATACTGTAAGCGTGATATAATGTACGTATTAAACAGCATTTTCATAGGTTCAGTAGAAGTGAAGTCACGACATTGTCTAATTATAAATCCAAGCAAAGAGAGTGAATGTTTTACTACTTCATCAATATGGAACCGAAAAGAGAGCCGAGAATCAAAATATATTCCCAAATCTTTTACAACATCACACCTGGTGAAGTGTTCTCCATTTATTGTGTAATCAAATACAATAAGAGATTTTTTATTACCAAATGACACAATTTTACATTTACTAATATTCAAGAAGAAGTTATTATTAGAACACCAAATTGTAAGTTTATGTAAGTCCTCCTGAAGTTGCAAAGCATCATTAAGATCATTTATAATACAAAAAAGCTTAGCATCATCTGCATATAATAGAATGTGACAATTCAGTGAATCAGGGAGATCATTGATAAAAACAGAAAAAAGTAGGGGCCCAAGATTGGAGCCCTGGGGAACACCGGATACTGCCTTAAAGAAGAATGATGAAAAACCATTGTAAAAAACGTATTGCAATCTATCACTTAAGTATGATCTTATAAGTTCCAAAAGTTTACCAGAAAAACCGTACGATTCTAACTTTAACAATAATAACCTGTGATCAATTCGGTCGAAGGCCTTTGCAAAGTCTGTGTAAACAGTGTCAACTTGGGACTGATTGTCAAGTCTGAAAGAAATTGTGAAAAACATGTGAGATTTGTTTCAGTGGAGCGTTTACTCATAAAACCATGCTGTTGAGGCGTTATGTAATTCTGAATATGAAAATAGATATGCGAGTACAGAACTATCTCAAAGATTTTAGCGAAGTTTGAAATTATGGATATTGGTCGATAATTACTGACATTCGATTTTTCACCTGATTTAAATATCGGGGTAACTTTAGAGGTTTTCCATTTTGAGGGAAAAGTACCAGTACTAAGAGCAACATTAAAGATTATTGACAAAGGCTGGACAAACAAACCTGCACAGTCACGTAATAGAAAGCTTGGTATTTGATCTGGCCCTGCTGTAAAAGAATTTTTAATATTACGTAAAGCAGACAAGATGTCTTTATCAATGATTTTACTGATATTTATGGGAAGAGAGTGAACTCCAGTTGTAAATTTTTGTGACGATGAATTTTGCGACGAAGTGTAAGAAGTCTGAAAATACATAGCGAATGCATGTATTAGGTGAATTTAATATATTATCATTGCAAGCCATCTTACCCGGAATTCTTGTAAGACCTTTTTTTGATTTAACATAAGACCAAAATATTTTAGGATCTTTGGAAATATTTGTTTGCATAGAGTCAGTATATTTTTTGTAAGCAGCTTTTATTTGGTTTTTAATAATCTTACGGTAATATTTAAATTTAGAGTAGTAAAATTCGTTAAGTGACTGTTTACATTTTTTGTGATAATAAGATTTAAATTTAATATTTTTAATAATAGAGAGATCGAACCAAGGTGGATACTGTACTTTATCTTGATGATTATGATATACTGGAACATGCTTATCCAAAACTTGATATAAAATGTCATAAAAACGCTCGGTTAGAATATCAATGTCATCAGAAGTATTTAAAACTGACCAATCAATGTTACACAGATCATGATAGAGGAAGTGAAACCTGGCTTTTTTAAACTTATATACACTAGTATTAGGTGAATTATGAGTGGGGAAGCTATTAAATGTAGTGTTAGTTATGTTGACCACAATAGAGAGAGCAGGGTGGTAGCTGTCCTCTACAATTAAAGGGGAATCATCGTGTTTGACAGAACAATCAACATTGGCAAAAACAAGATCTAGTAGCCTGCTGTTTCTATTTTTAATAACATTGTATTGCTCTAGATTTAAAAATTTACAAAAATCATTAAGAGTATTAACAAGAATATTATCATTGTTTATTATGAATTCTGGAACGTTAAAGTCACCCAGTAATAAGAAATTTTCATTTGTATTAAAGTTATCTTCAAAATATTCACAAAACCTTAACAACTCATTAAGTGATGGAGTTCTACAAAAATAAACAACAAAAATGTGTAAAAAGGTACCATTTAAAAAACATTTACAACCTACAATTTCAATCATATCTAGATCATTCCGTAATTGACTTAAATCAACAATTGTCACAGGTATATGGGTTCTCAAAGAAAGCAAAACACCACCTCCTCTGGACAAGTTCAATGCATTATAATTACGGTCACATCTAAAAATTGTATATAAGTGAGGAGGGAAAATTTCGGAATCAGAAATAGAGTCTTGTAACCAAGTCTCTGTGGTGCAAATAATGTCATAAGTTAAATCTAAAACCGAAATTGAAAGTTGGCTTAGTTTGTTTCGAATACTCCGTGTATTTTGATAATATAAAGAAGTAGATGAAATGTTGGGCTTTACGATTTTAAATGATTGGATACTTTTATAATGCGCGGAATACCTTTGACGAACTTAATTTGAAGATCGCTCTCCCCTTCAGCTTCTCTGCGTTGTAACTCTTGCTTCACATTCCGAAAATATGCATTTTGTTTCGGCGTTTTGTCAGAGGATACCTTTACATTATGAAAACGCCATTACATTATTTGCTGCACTCAAGAGTTTTTAGTTTGTGTACTTTTTTCGCAGACAAAAACGATCACCATTTTTGTGTCATTATTCGTGTGATGTTGGAGTAAATTTTTATTTACTACTTTGTGTATGTGTGTGTTAAATTTATCCAAAATCTAAGGTAAGAGTGACTCAATTTATCAATGTTTTTACGATTTGTCCAATATTCATATCATTTTTAATCTCTTTATTCTGGATACTATTTAGGTTATATTTTTTCCAGACAAAAGAAACCGAAAACCACTGAAGCAGACACAATGTTGGACCTACAAAGATTTATCTTAAGCGGTATTAACGACAAACTGCAGTGCTTCATCTGTGGCAACTACTTGTCGTATTTTCCTATATTTCTGTGCTCTAATAACAAAAGCGTCTGCGGTCGCTGCACCCTCCCCGACGACTTAGTTCACTTTAGAGATGAAGCCTTTGAAGCTATGTGTCAATTTTCGAAATTTCCATGTTGTTATCAACCAGAAGGGTGTGGCGAAGAGCTAATCCCACAGGATATTCCCGAACATGAAAAAAACTGCCTCTACAAAGCCGTTCCGTGTGTGATTTTTCAACCAGATGCGTGCACTTGGAAAGGCTGCATTAACACTTTGACTCACCACTGCCAGAAAGACCACTCTGACGCTATTTTAAAAAATGGACAATTTCAACTAGATCTGTCAGTTTCAGAAGAAACTTACAATTTGCTAGAATACCGAGAGAAGATGTTTATATTTAAAAGAAAATTTGATTCTGAAGCTAAGACGGTGGAATGCTGTGTTTATAACAATGAATATGAAACGAATGTCAAGCCTTGTCTAGTTCAGTTGAGTATAAAAGACGACGATAAAACTGTGTTGGTTGATTTTAATACAACTGGATTTGACGAAAAAACAACTACAAAATTATGTCTAGGACACGTTTTCGGCGACGACGTTGTAAATAAGTCGGTTCAAGGAATTATTAGCGTTGGGAAAATACAAATCCCTGGAATTGAGCCCCCTGAAAATGGAACAAATTCGGAAATGCTTTCAATTCTCAAGTGTTGCGGATGTGGAGAGTTTGCTGTACCACCAATATTTCGTTGTTCGAGAAATGACAACACCGTGTGTAATTTTTGCAAGTATAGACATGTTCCTTGCAATCAGAGCGGGATTCAGAGTGACTGCGACTGTGCGTCTCCAAGAAGTAATATTTTAGAAAAACTTTCAGTTTTAGTAGAATACCCATGCGTTTACGAGAGCAATGGTTGCACATATAGAGCTTGCTCTCAGGATATAAAAAAACACGAAGAGCACTGCGATTACTTAGGTCACATCTGTCCCGTCGGTACTGGTATTTGCAGATGGGGTGGACTGAGAAAAGGACTGGAACAACATCTAATGGATGTGCATCCCGATATTATATCAAATTCGTCCGAAAAAATCTTTAAGTTTGATCTAGATTCCAGTATTTTGTCGCAACGAATTGTTAAGTTTTCTGACCACTTGTTTAGCTTACGGTATTATAAAGATCACGAAAATTACACATGGACTCTCAGAAAAGTTGGCTCTCGGCAAAACAACTTCACGTGCGAAATCGACATCATTGCTATTGAAAATAGTCACCGGCGGCTATTCATAAGACAACCGTGTTTACATCTGCGAAATGGAATTAATGGGAGTAAATTCACATTTGACAGGAGTCAGATTTTCGAGTTAGCACCAGAAGGGATTTTAAATTTCAAAGTCCACATTTACAATTACTGATCGACTTTTGTTGCCTTTTATTTGTACGACTAACGATTTTAGAAATAAACGTGTAAATAATGGTTGAAACGTTCATTTTTTACGATCGTAGTAAATAGACAAAGCTAACAAAAAACTTACTTGTAACTGGTCCATCAGCGTCGAATCGGACAAATACGGTATAACATGCTGCAAAAGTGCCAAACATGAAATCAGTCCTCCTTCCAAGTTGGGTGTTAATCTTCGTTTACACAACGCAATCAGTTCGCTCATGTGAGGTATATATTGAAACAAAATCAACTGCTCGCCGTACAAACCTGAAACCAAAATATTCACTTTTCACTCGTTCCGAATTCTTCAGAATTTGCTTAGTCCATAGTGTAATTATTAAGGCTCGGATAATATGCAAAATGCATATTTTAAAATATTTGCTGCATTTTTCGTGGCAATTGGTGAAAATCTTAATTTCAATACAATTTTAATACAGATGGTTATTGGCAGTATTTTCTAGTAATGCCGACGGGTTTTTCCAAGTCTTCATGTATGGACACCCGAATTAGGCCTATTACTCGAATTCTTTACTTAACGGGATTTAAGCCGGATGTTCTAAATATAGATAGTTCTGCAAATGTATTTAATGAGGGGTTAGAAGAGATGGAAAACCTGGAATGGATTTGTAAGCATTTTAGTCTTAGATTTCCAAATTCATTCGTCTTGGCAACAGAGCAGTGATTTTACGAATAATTAAAAAAATGTCTTCCAAACCATCATCGTGGATTCGGCCCTACTCAAAGTTGGTAGGTCAAAATCAGTCTTATTTTGGCAAGTACTAGCCCCACCCGCCCACCTTTAATTTTTTTAGAGGGAATGTTATTTGGCAATATCAGCCTTATCGTGGCAAGCACTAGCCCCGCCCACCCACCCTTTATTTTTTTAGAGACCTGCTAAGATATAGTTTCGCCAGTTCTAATTCGGTTTCATGAAAAATTTAAAAACAAATTGGAAAATCGAAAATTGAAAAATTGGGAAAATTGAAATATAGAAGTACTGAAAACTGGAGAAATCGAAAAACCTAAAAATTTAAGAATCGAAAAATTAAAACATCGAAAAGTTGAAAAATTGGGAAATGGAAGTATATAACAGTCGAAAAATTGAAAAATCTTAAGTTTAACGAAAAATTGAAAATCCAAAAAGTAAAAAATCCAGGAGCTCAGAAATCGAAAAGTCGAAAGATCGGAACATTGAAAAATAAAAAAACTGAAAGAAATGGCAAAAAAATGAGAAATTAAAAAATTGGAAAATTGACAAATCGAAAAACTAAAAAAGCAAAGTTGAAAAATTGTAAGCTTAAAAAATGGAAAAAAAGTTGGGAAAAGGGGAAAATAAAAAAAAGATTACTCAGAAATCGGAAAACTAAAAATTTGAAAAAAAATTGAAAAAGCGAGAAATCCAGAAATCCAAAAATCGAAAAATTCACAAACTGAAACATCGAGAAGAAAAGCTAATAATTGAAAAAATTGAGGAATCGAAAAATTGAACAATCAAAACATCGAAACATCTGAATTCGATAAATCGAGAAATAAAAAAATTTAAAAATCGAAAAATTTTAAAAACTGGAAAATCGAAAACTGAAAAATTGGGAAAATTGAAAAATTGAAATATAGAAGTACTGAAAACTTGAGAAATCGAAAACCCTAGAAATTTAAAAATCGAAAAATTAAAACATCGAAAAGTTGAAAAATTGAGAAATCGAAGTATAAAACAGTCGAAAAATTCAAAAATCTTAAGTTTAACGAAAAATTGAAAATCCAAAAAGTAAAAAATCCAGGAGTTCAAAAATCTAAAAGTCGAAAGATCGGAACATTGAAAAATCAAAAAACTGAAACAAATGTAAAAAAATGAGAAATTAAAAAATTGGAAAATTGAAAATCGAAAAACTAAAAAAGCAAAGTTGAAAAATTGTAAGCTTAAAAAATGGAAAAAAGTTGGGAAATGGGAAAATAAAAAAAGATTACTCAGAATTCGGAAAACTAAAAATTTGAAAAAAATTGAAAAAGCGAGAAATCCAAAAATCCAAACATCGAAAAATTCACAAACTGAGACATCGAGAAGAAGAGCTAAAAACTGAAAAAATTTAGTACCCCATTGTGTGAAAGTTAACTTCCTTAACAAGAAAATACTATTTCTGGGGCAGTCACAAATAAGGATTTTACCATGCCGATACAGTATAATGGTTAAATCCTTATTTCTCTTCATCGCCAGTAGTAATCTATTGTTACGAAAGTTATCTTTTACACGTCATAAAACCGAATTAGAACTGGGGAAACTATAAGACTGATATAGGCTAATGAGATCTTTCTAAGAAAATAGAGGGCGGGTGGGTGGAGCTAATACCTGCCAAGATAAGACTGATTTTGGCAAATCACATACCCTCTAAGAAAGTAAAAAAATAAAACAATGACGTAGAGAAAAAAGGTGGGAGGTACTGAGTTTGCCTTGATTCCAGGGACTACTCTTAATATTGTTCAGTCTTAACATAGCAAATAGTACCCCGCCCACCCGCCCTCTATTTTCTTTTTTTTGTTAGTACTTGCTAAAATAAGACTTATTTTGGCAAATCACATACCCTCTAAGAAAAGAGAGGGCAGGTGAGTGGGGTAGTACCTGTTAGATAAGACTGATTTTACCAAATGAGATACCCTCTAAAAATTAAAAAAATAAGACAATGAAATAGAGAAAAAAGGTGGGCGGTACTGAGTTTGCCTTTTTTGTACAGAGTCTTATCAGTAAGCAGTGGCCCCGCCCACCCACCCCCTCTTGATTCCAGGGACTACTCTTAATATTGTTCGGTCTTAACTTAGCAAGCAGTACCCCGCCCACCCGCCCTCCATTTTCTTTTGTTTTTGTTAGTACTTGCTAAAATAAGACTTATTTTGGCAAATCACATACCCTCTAAGAAAAGAGAGGGCGGGTGGGTGGGGCTAGTACCTGTTAGATAAGACTGATTTTACCAAATGAAATACCCTCTAAGAAAGTAAAAAAAAAATAAGACAATGAAATAGAGAAAAAAGGTGAGTTTGGGTTTTTTCTAAAGAGTCTTATAAGTAAGCAGTGGCCCCGCCCACCCACCTCCTCTTGATTCCAGGGACTACTCTTAATATTGTTCAGTCTTAACTCAGGAAGTAGTACCCCGCCCGCCCGCCCTCTATTTTCTTTTTTTTTTGTTAGTACTTGCTAAAATAAGACTTATTTTAGCAAATCACATACCCTCTAAGAAAAGAGAGGGCGGGTGGGTGGGGCTAGTACCTGCTAAGATAAGACTGATTTTGGCAAATGACATGTCCTCTAAGAAAAGAAAGGGCGGGTGGGCGGGGCTAGTACCCGCTAAGATAAAACAGATTTTGGCAAATCGTTCGTTTAGAATTACAGTGTGGTAAACGCCATTTTTTAAGAAATTGAGATTCTTCACTTTACAGGTTGTTTTAAACTTGAATATGTAAAAACTAGTTTTTTTTTTCATATTACCTTATTTCAATTTATGTAATTATTAGAAGAAGAAATACGAAGTCGTATCTTGTGAACTCAATATGTTTCGGAATAACAAAGTCGTCTGTGCGTTTCATTTAAAATTGTAATACCAAAATATATCATTACACTTTCATTCAAATAGTAAAATATAACAACGCGCCAACAAATCCCAAGTAAAGAAAAAACATTATTAAAAAAAATAAAATAAAATAAAATCTCAGTTCTGGTGACTTTTTTTATTCATCGTAAGCCGAGGGGCGGAGCTTAATTGTTAAATGCTTATTTTTCTATGAGAAATAATCATGTGAAATATGTTCTTAAGTAATCGTAACGGTTCCAAATTTTCAGAGCAGTTTCAAAGTTAAATTGCAAGATCTTGTAATTTTGATTTTTTTCGCCAAAAATCTGGGTGTCTAGGATAAAAATTCAACAGGGGTTTATAAACAACATGTGCAGGAGTATTTTATGTTATAAAATTTAAATAATATTTACTACTGTAAATTTCGAAGATGACCTTGTAATGATCTAATTCGAAATTTTTTTTGAATTAAAATTCCAGGCGCACAATAGACGGCTAGCGATAAGGGGAAAAGATTGTCAACGAAAAAAAAAACCCACAAAGGGTGACATGAGCCGAAGAGGGGTCATTTTTGCCTCCCTCGTGTTGTTCAAAGAATACTACGTATATTAAGACAAAAAAGCAAAATATAAATACCGCCCACCCACCCCATGTCAATTGTGATTTATTTGCAATAAGTACAAAAAATAATAATTATTGATGCCAATAAATCTAGACACTGCACTGTCAAAATTGTAGCAACTCTTTGATAGTCCAGTGTGGTAAATCTTTTTGAATAAATTGTTATAATTTTATTAATACGAATATATCAGTATACAATCAAGGATAAATAATATTATGGCATTAAAATGAAAAACTATGGTTCTGTACTGTGATTCATCCGAAAGCGATAACTAAAATGAGGAGGTAATGTACCACTAGCAAGTATTATTTTCCATTGTAATATTACTAACATCATGCAAAATCTTTTAGAATTCAGTATGCTATAACTAGGTACTGTATGAAATTTGAAATGTACAAAATATTATAACAAACACATTTTTGTAGATCACTTCTTAAAAATTACAAAATCGTATCTGTCATAAAATAAATTTAAACTAAAATTTGAGAATGACAAAATCGTATCTCTTTTTCAAAAATAGCATTTTGTCGCATAAATTGATAAATTTTCATAGCTACAAAATACTAAATTGCTACCCCAATTAGATAAGTAATTTAGCCCATTGCTTACGCCGATCAGCATAATAAGTTAGAATATAATAGGTACGATTTTAAAAGTTCAAATTTTAGTTTGACATACACTCTAAAAAAAGAGGGCGGGCGACTGGGGTAGTACCTGCTAAGAAAACCTCAAGATTGTTTTAAATCCCCCCCCCCCCCCAAAAAAAAACGGGGTCCCAAAATTAACTCAAAAACAGGTCAGGTCAGAATTTTACATAAATAGAAACACCAAAATAATTTACAAAAAAAAATCTCCATGGGCTGCCAAAATAATACACCAGGGTACCCAAGAGTCTCCCGAATAAACATAAAAAATAAAACCACTGCCGCACTGAAGACTTTTTCGAATTCATAAAAAAGAAACCACTAAAAGCTCAAGATTTTTTCAAATTTATCCAGCAAGAAAACACCAGATTCCTTTAAATTTGTCCGAAAATAAAACACCAGGGGACAAAATTAACTACGAACATTATAAACGAAAAGTTTTGAATACCTTGACAATTTTTGATACGTCAAACATTTTTAACTGCTTACTCGATTTTTGCTGATTTGTACCTTCGCTTTATTGCAGGCCGTCGTCTTCGTTGATTCACTATTAAAGTCTCTCCAATTGGTTACAATCGTCCGACTTGTCAAAAGGGAAAATATCAAAAGATGTCACCCCCTTCGGGAGTTACAGGAACCTTTAATTAATCCGTTTTGTTACGCGCCAAAACAGTTTGTGCTTGAATTGATATTAGCAAAATGTCCAAAAAATATTGCTCTGTGCCTGCTTGTGGAGTAATCAAGGATCCTAGAGACCACAAAATAATGCATAGATTCCCTTCAAACACTGTGAACAAAAGGTTGTGGTGCAAAAAGGTTTTTAATGCTACAAGTAGGTACCCAAACATGAATCTTTTACCTAAGGGAATGTATAGGCATTAAAACCATTTCATGATAATATTGCCAATAATTTATACTTTTGAGAGAAGTTGTTATTATTTAAATAAAAGACTTAAACCCGGCTCTGTTCCTACTTTGTTCCTCCATGGTTCCAAGTCACCGCTACCTGTTCCTACTTCTTCAAGCTACCCAGCAAGTAATAAACGTGATCCAGAATGCAGCTTCATAATTCCTGAGACACATTCCGATAACAATGTAAACACCTCAAAGAAAAATTTTCCTACTGCATATCCCTTTGAAGACGATCCACGCCCATGGCGTTGTGATTTTGGCACCGGTACCGAAATTTTGCCTCTTTTTCTAGTAAAAACCGAAATACATGATGTCATTGTGTCAAAAAGTCAGACCATGACAGACATTTAGCTGACATTACAGATTCCTTTCCCTCCCGACGTATGCGCCCTCACATGTCACATTTAAGGGATTGGGGAGACTTTAATAGTGAATCAACGAAGACGACGTTGCAGGCAAACATTGTTGTCAAATGGAATTTTATAAAATTACTAGTTTAGCATTATTACCAACCTTCAAGTAAAAAATGTGTTGAAGGGTATTAATACAAGTTCTAGTCAAAATCGACATAAATAACTATTTTACGCTCATAAAAATTTTGTCACCCCCTTTCACCTTCTTAGGGGTGGAATCTCGAAACAATCTGAAATACGTGTTTCATTATTTGTGTTGAAGAGTATTAGTACCAAGTTTCACGTAAAAATTTAAATTTACAATAGAAATATTTTTCCATATAAACTTAACCAGTACTTTTCACCCTCTTAGGGGTAGAATCTCCGAAAATGCTTAAATACGTGTTTCGTTATTTGTGTTGAAGAGCATTAATACCAGGTTTTAAATAAACATTACCATAAAAATATTTTGCTAATACACGCCCCTTTTCGCCCCCTTAGGGGCTGAATATAGGAAAATGCTTAAATATGTGTTTCGTTATTTGTACTGAAGAGAATTAATACCAGGTTACACTTAACAATGTAAATTTACAGTAGGCATACATATTGGTCCCATACAAATTTTATCACCCCTTTTTACCCCATTAGGGGATGAATTTAGAGAAATGCCTCCAGTATAAAATGAACATTCTCTCCAAATTTCAACTTTCTAGCATTAGCGGTTTGGGCTGGGCGTTGATAGGTCAGTCGGGACATTGACCATTTTTCAACCATTTTCAAAAATTAGCGAAGACATTTTCTTGTAACTTTCGACATCCAGAAGTCATTTTAGGGTTCGTTTCCACAAAAATTTCTATCGTTTTTCCAAAATCGCCAATTGAAATATATCAATTTTTACAGTTCCAGTAGCAAATAGTGTAACAAAAAAATTTACGGTTAGCGCTTTTTTTACTTTTTTTCATGTCCTAGATTCTATTAGTTTCCACTCCCACTCCATAGGACAATATAATTAGCCCCGCCCACTCACCCGATCTTTATTTCAGTGATTAATTTTAACCGGTCTGAATGAAATAAATGATCTTATACTGACCAGAAATAAAATTAGTCTTAAGATTGACAAGACTGAGGGTGGGTGGACTAGTACTTGCTAAGTTAAACTGATTTTGGCAGACGACATACCTTCCAAGGAAATAGAGGGCGGGTGGGCGGGCCTAGTACTTGACAAGATAAGACTGTTTTTGACAAATGACCTATCTTCCAAGAAAATAGAGGGAGGGCGGGCAGGGCTAGCATTTTATAAAATATGACTGATTTTGACACTTTTGACAATTTTGACCATTTTTCAGCCATTTTCGAAAATTAGCTAAACATTTTCTTGTAGCTGTCGACATCTAAAAGTCACTTTAGGCTTAGGTTTTCCAGAATCGCCAACAGAGTTATATCAATTTTTGTAGTTCCAGTAGCAAATAGTATAAGAAAAAATTGACGGTTAGCGCTTTTTTGACTTTTTTTCACGTCCTAGATTCTATTAGTTCCCACCCACCCGACCTTTATTTCAGTGATTAATTTTATCCGGTCCGAATGAAATAAATGATCTTATACTGGATAGAAATAAAATTAGTCTTTAGAATGAGAAGACTGGGGGTGGGGTAGTATTGCTAAATTAGACTGATTTTGGCAGACAACATATCTTCCAAGTAAATAGAGGGTGGGTGAGCGGGGTTAGTACTTGATAAGATAAGACTGTTTTTGACAAATTACCTATCTTCCAAGAAAATAGAGGGCGGGGGGGCGGGGCTAGCATTTTATAGTTTTGGAAATTTTATTCTACCTTATAAAATTTTATTAGCAAAAACGAGGCGAACAGTATTACAATAAAAAGAGAGATTTACAACTTAAAGTTGTCGCGTGTCGGTAATCCCTAGATGTTAGAAAGCAGAATAATCCAGGTCCAGACAGAGATTACCGTTGCTCACGAACGAAAATGACCCTTATTTTATGAGTACAACTACCTGTTAAATTTTATCCACCAAATTCGGGTGAATTGGCGTCAGCCATAAATATTTCTTACCATTGTACTACTGTCCGTCTCGTTATTGTCAATAAAATTTTATAGGGTAGAATGAAATTTCCAAAACTAGATAAGATATGACTGATTTTGACACTTTTGACATTTTTGACTGTTTTTCAAACATAATTCAAAAATCAGCTAGACATTTTCTTGTAGCTTTCGACATCTAGAAGTCATTTTAAGCTTAGGGTTTTCCAGAATCGCCAACTGAATTATAGCAATTTTTTTAGTTCCAGTAGCAAATAGTATAACAAAAAAATTACGGTTAGCGCTTTTTTTTACTTTTTCATGTTCTAGATTCTATTAGTTTCCACTCCCACTCTATTGGAGAATATAATTAGCCCCGCCCGCCCACCCGACCTTCATTTCTGTAATTAATTTTATCTGGTCTGAATGAAATGAGTGATCTTATACTGAACAAAAATAAAATGGGTCTTTAGAATGAGAAGACTGGGGGTGGGCGGGCTAGTACTTGCTAAGTTAAACTGATTTTGGCAGACGACATACCTTCCAAGGAAATAGAGGGTGGGTGGGCGGGCCTAGTACTTGACAAGATAAGACTGTTTTTGACAAATGAGCTATCTTCCAAGAAAATAGAGGGAGGGTGGGCGGGGCTAGCATTTTATAAGATATGACTGATTTTGACACTTTCGACATTTTTGACCATTTTTCAAAATTTGCTAGACATTTTCTTGTAGTTTACGACATCTAGAAGTCATTTTGCGCTTAGATTTTTCCATAGGAAAACATAATTAGCCCCACCCACCCACCCGACCTTCATTTCAGTGATTAATTTTATCCGGTCTGAATGAGATAAGTGATCTTATACTAAACAGAAATAAAATTAATCTTTAGAATGAGAAGATTGGGGGAAAATAAAAGGCGGGTGGGTGGGGCTAGCACTTGGTAAGATAAAATTGATTTTGGCACATAATATACCCTGTAAGAAAATAGCGGGCGGGTGGGCGGGGCTAGTACATGCTACTTGAGTACAAGTCTAAATGAGTTTAAAAAATTAAAATCTATTAGATAAAAATATTAACAAGCATCAATTTATTGTCATTAACTGAAATGATTGTGATCAATGATCTGAATTAAATAGCTTTGTACACAGTTTTATAAGCAACCAGTAGCCCACACACCCTCTCTTCATTCTAGTCACTACTCTTAATATTGTTCGGTCTTATCTTAGCAAATACTAATTTTTATAAAAATTAATCGATGCGGTCTATTTGTAGATTTAGAAGATTTTTTCAAATTTCCTTTAGATAATAAATAATCAAACTCCCTGAGGTGAAGATTTGATAAAAACACATTTCGCGATTTTTTTTAAAGTATAAAAGGAGACTATTAAATCTACTGAAACAAAGTGCTCTATGTTTTAGAGACTTGTTTATAATATATAACACAATTCCATCTAACGCCGCAGTGGAAAGCATGTTTAGTATTGGCGTGGATGTTTTTAAGAGAAAACGTCATGCCTTAGCTGACAAAAATTTTGAATGTCAATTATTATTGAATTTAAATTATGCATATAATGCCAAATTTCTCTGCCTATAATTCCGAGCTTTACTAATTATATTTAATACATGCACAATTTAGTACTATATTATATCAAACCACCAAAACGTACCTGCTATACTCGTCAAACACTCCAGAACCTTCGACGCATTATGATCTCCCTGCACATAGCTCGAAACAACCGAAATCGATTCGACCTCCTTTACCCCTTCATCCTTAGGTACCGCCGTCAGATTTTCCCGCCCCACGTAACACAAAGTCAACATCTTCAATAAATTTCGCGACAAATACCTCGCCGTCAACACCGGTCCCAATCGATGAGACAACCAAATCAAACTATCAGAACTCATATCGGATATTTTGGCATCTTGTTTCCTGCTTTTTGGCACTGCGGGACCTTTTTTGGCCTCCGAGTTGGCAGAACTGGGTGAATCCAACACCAACTCGAAGTGAATCGAGTCGCTTTTCTTGCTACCGATCTCGCAACTGATGTTGGTGAAGTCTTTCCCGCTCGGAATAGGAATCGTGGGGGAGCAAGCCCCCTTACCGTCGTCATCTTCGCTCAAATTCATATTCAACTCCTCCAGGCTTCGCAACTGATCTAGATTTTCCGTAATCGTGGCATCGAGGGCTTCCTCCGCCGTTGAATGGTTGAAGGGTAAGTCTGAAGCCACATTCAACTCCAAGTGTTCCATCAACGACTTGAGTTGTTCTTCGTTTTGTTTGTCGTCTTCGAACTCGAAAACTTCGGGTTCGGAAACCTGCTTGGATTCTTGTTTGGGTGTTGGGCGCTTCTCGGAGGAAACGCTTGAGTCGTCGCTTGCGGAAGCGTCGACGTGTTCGTTGTCCATGGTCTTCAGATGGGATGTTTTTTTAACGAACTTCTCTGAATGCGTGTGGAGGATGAAATCGACTTTTTCGTAATCTTTGTATCGACCGACGGCTTCGACCAAAGGTGCTGTGAAGTTGTCGAGGAAGCATTTCAAACCTAACCTCACCATCAGTCGCAAGAGGAAACTGTGATGATACAACTTGGCGATTTTGCCGTAGTAGGGTAGAGTACTTTCGTTCGGTTCGTTTTCGTAGAGTTTCAAAATGGAATCCAGGAGGGTTTCTGAGGTTCTTTGGGGTCCTAGAACTCGGGAGAATGGATCGAATAAGTACCAAGCTGCCAGAACGGAAGTCGGAGGGTCTTCGATCAACTCCCTAATGTGTGGGAGGAGGATGTTCACGATTTCTGTATCCGTAGTTGTGTATAGCTCCTCCAATAACACCTCCAAGTGTTTAGCACACGTTTTTACTTTACATTCTCCGATGTTCTGGGCGAAAAGAATTTTCGTCCTTTCTAGACTTTCATATTCCGCACACATCTCACCATTGCAGTCGAAATGGTACAAAACCCCGAGTTCCACAGCGACATTTTTGAACTCTTTCAAACTCGAAATAACGTGATAAAGATTAGGAAAAAGCCTCGGAAACGGGATAACGCAGTGAAGAAGAGGCTCCAAAAGCAAATGGGCGCTTGGTGGTGGCAACCCGAGATCAGTAACGGACGGATATTTAAATTCCTTGAAATTCATGGTATCCGGTTGGAGTAACAAGTGCACGATGTACGAAATACACGATGGAAGATCAAATTTGCAACTCCTCACGACGGTCAAGCACGCCCTCAAACGCTCATTGAACGACAAATTCGAATCGTTGGCACCCAAAGCTCGCAGTTGCTTCGCCATGAAGATCTCCACAATCAAACACCCCAAAATCTGCAGCTCCCTGATGCGTCTCGCCGAAATAATATCCGAATAGTTACAAACAATTTGATTCTCGTTCCTCTGAACAGGCTTGCTCCGGAAATTCTGACTGTCCAAAGGGTACGTCAACGACTTGATCCGATTAAACCGCACCTTCTCTTCAAAGTTTTCGCTGAAGATGAGATTCGTAAACGCGTTTTGTACCACGTACTCGTCGATTTCTTCAGCGGCGCTTCTTCCTTCGGCTTCCACACACTTCGCCCGTTTTTCCTCTACGTGAAACGTCTTTGAAAAGAAGGAGTGTCTTTTTTCCAAATTCTCTAGATTCTGCTCGGGTTTGTACTCTTTCGGCAAGTATATAATTCCGGTGCTCATACTCGAACTAGGTACTACTAAACCGGCTCTAGATTTAGCGTTAATGTGCGACGTGAAAGTGGGGTTTTTGGGTCCTAGGCTTGAACTTCTTTGGTTGGCTGGGTTTTTGGTGGGTTTTTGATTGGGTTCTTCGTTCAGAGAGGAGCGACTTCTGGAAAGAAGGCGCGAAAGACCCAAGGGTGACCGGTTGGAGTTTGGAACGTCTTCGATCTCTTCGTCGTCGGTTTTGGCTTCGAGGGCCATCCCTGGGGAGTTGCTGCGGTCGCGTTTTTGTTTAGTGGGTTTGGTTATGTAGATTTTGGGAGGGGTTTTGTTCCAGAAAAGAGAGGCGGCGGCGCGAGGAGGGTGGGGGTAGGTGAAGAGTTGGACGATGCCGGATTTCATTAGTTTGTTGTGGTCGTCTACGAGGTGAAGGCAGACGTTTTTGGATTTGATGGCCGCGTTTCCGGCGAGTCTGCAAATAAAAACAAAAGTTTTTGTAAAAATATTCACAAATATACAGGGTCATCAAAATTGATTGAGAGAGTTGGTACCCCCTGTTTTTGTCGTGAAGTTTGTCAACCTTATGACAGATTTGTTTAATGAATTCAGTGGCGTGACAAAAATTAGACACTTCAAATCTGACAACTAATGTTTTTACCAAAAAAAAGTCGAAAAAAGACGCCACTGAGTTTTGAAATTTGAAACTTGAAACTTCAAATCTGACAGCTAATATTTTTATACAACTTAATAAACCAAATTATTCAAGTTCAGGCTTACCAACTCTCTCAATCAATTTTGATGACTCTGTATATTATCCCTTCACGATCTTTATATAGTAGGGTTGGCCATGAAAATCTAGTGAGTTTGTTGGTATCGATGCAGAAGAATAAAAATTCCCTGAACCTTCTCGTTAGGTTATGTTTTATTAAATTAAAGGTGAAAAAATATGCCAGAAATATAAACATTGTTGCCGATGCTTTCAGTTGTCAGTAGCAATGACCAAGTTAACGGTATCCATTTCTTAGAAAACATAAAACTTTACGCTATTTAAAACAGTTATTCGGCTTTTTGTAAGTGTTTATTTCATATGTAAGGAACAAACACTAAAATTTCACTTAAACATTGTTTTTATATGAATGGGGGTTCTACATACGACTATTGTCGCATGCCACATTTAGCATCTCATCTTTAATTCTCAATCATCAGTTCGTTATGCTCGCCCACTCTTCTTAGAAATGGAAATTTCGACCTTTGTGAACAGCCTATTTCCATATCTTCCAAGTTCTTTTTTCACTTTTCTAAGATTACTAAAAGTGTTGGTAAAAGACAACAACCTTGCTCTAGTGCTTTCATGGGTTTAGCTCTTGACAAAATTTACATTTCAAATTGTATTATCAAATGGTAGAACGCTCACCAAAATTTGTCACCAACAATGAAATGACGCAATCTCCAAATTTTACAACAGTATATCCTCCGTTCACGATTTATGGATCCGTGTTGAGTTTTCACCTCAAACGTCAAGATTTTTGAAAAAAAAACAACATTTTCCAATTTATAATGTTATTTAAATTTTAAAAAGTAGCATAGTCCTGATCTTGTGATTTATAAATACGCTATTGAGATTTTTCGGCTTTTCGATTTCACGATTTTTCAACTTTAAATGTCTCAATTTTTCAATATTTCAATTTTGGGCTTTTCCAATTCTTCCATTCTTCAAATTTTCCATTTCTCGATTTTTTTATTTTTCGATGTTTCAATGATACAATTTCTCAATTTTTGTCCTCTTCAATTTTACGGTTTTTAAATATTTCGATTTTTCAATTTTTCAAATTTTCACGTTTCTAAATTTTCAGTTTTCCGATTTCTAAAGTATTTTTCACTTCTTCAATTCTTCAATTTTTCGATTTTTTAAGCTTTCGATTTTTCGACTTTGCTGTTTAAGATTTTCGATTTCTCAATATTTTAATATTTCTTTCAGTTATAAAAGATTTCTCAATATTTCGATGTTTCGACTTTTCGATTTTTCAATTGATGGATTTTTTTTCTCGATTTTTTACTTTTCGATTTTCAATTTATTGTTAAACTTTAGATTTTTCAATTCTTCGACTGTTTTATATTTCGATTTCTCAATTTTTCAACTTTACGATGTTTTAATATTTCATTTTTTAAAATTCTAGGTTTTTCGATATCTCGACTTTTCAATTCTTCCATTTTTCAATTTTTCAAATTTTTTAATTTTAACTTTCGATTTTCCAGTTTTTCTTTTTTAAAATTTTTCGATTGTTCAATTTCTCAATTTATCAATTTTTCAATTTTTAACTTTCCTTTTCGGCTTCCGACTCATCAATTGGATTTCTGGATTCTTCAATTTTGCGATATTTTAATTGTTCAATGTTTTAAATTTTAGATTTTTCGATTTCTCGATTTTTTGACTTTTCAGTCTTCAGTATTTAAATTTTTCAATTTATCAAATTTTCACGTTAAATTTTCAGTTTTCTGATTTCTCAATTAATCTATTTTTGATTTTCCCATTTCTCAAAGTTCCGATTTTTCAGTTCTTCAATTCTTCGATTTTTCGACTTCGCTTCATTCATTTTTCGATTTCTCAATTTTTGGATATTTCTTTCAGTTTTGATATTTTTTTATTTTTATTTTAAATTTATTGAGATTAGGATGTTTCGATGTTTTGATTGTTCAATCTCTCGCTTTATCAATTTTTACATTCGATTTTGGCCTATTTTGGTTTCTCAATTTTTCGATTTTTCCACTTCTCGATTTTTTGGTCTTTTAATTTTTCGATTTCTCGATGTCTCAGTTTTTGAATTTTACGATATTTCGATTTTTGATTTATCCGATTTTTCAATTTTCCAATTTTTTAAATTTTCGACTTCGCGATTAGTTGATTTTTCAGTTTTTCGATTTTTAAATTTTAGATTTTCGAATTTTAATTTTTTTTATTTTTTGATGTTTGGATTTCTCCATTTTTCAATTTTACGATATTTCAATTTTTCAGTTCTTCAATATTTTTTTATTTTTCAAATTTTGACGTTTCAGTTTTCGGATTTCTCAATTAATCTATTTTTTTATATTCCCATTTCTGCACTTCCCAAAGTTTCGATTTTTCAGTTCTTCAGTTCTTCAATTTTTCAGGTTTTTGATATTTCAATTTTTCGATTTTTTAAGTTTGCGATTTTTCGACTCTGCTTTTTTGACTTTTCTGTTTCTCAATTTTTTAATTTCCTAATTTTTGGATATTTCGTTCAATTTTGTGATTTTTCAGTTTTTCGATGTCTAAATTTTAACTTTTCAATTTTTAAAATACTAGGTTTTTTCGATTTTTTGAGTTTTCAGTTCTTCTATATTTCAATTTTTCAATTTTCGATTTTCCAATTTTTCAATGTTTCGATTTTTGGATTTCTCGGTTTTTAGATTTTTTACTTTTGGGCTTTTCAATTTCTGGATTTTCCAATTTTTCAATGTTTCGATTTTTCAGTTTTTCAATTTTTTAAATTGAATTGGATTTCTGGATTCTTCAATTTTGCGATATTTTAGTTGTTCAATGTTTTAAATTTTAGATTTTTCGATTTCTCCATTTTTTGACTTTTCTCTCCATTTTTTGACTTTTCAGTTCTTCAGAATTTAAATTTTTCAATTTATCAAATTTTGACGTTAAATTTTCAGTTTTCTGATTTCTCAATTAATCTATTTTTGATTTTCCCACTTCTCAAAGTTTCGATTTTTCAGTTCTTCAATTCTTCGATTTTTCGACTTCACTTTATTGGTTTTTCGATTTCTCAATTTTTGGATATTTCTTTCAGTTTTGATATTTTTCAATATTTTGATTCTTTCATTTTTCGACTTCTGGATTTTTCGATTTTTATTTTTGGATTTTCAGTTTTTCGTTTTTTATACTTCAGATTTTTCAATTTTTCGATTGTTTTACATTTCAATTTCTCAATTTTTCAACTTTTCCATATTTTATTTTTTCAATTTTTAAATTTCTAGATTTTTCAATTTCTCGACTTTCCAGTTCTATATTTTAATTTTTCAATTTTCCGAATGTTTAAATTTTTTGAGATCTCGATTTATTGAGATTCGGATGTTTCGATGTTTTGATTGTTCAATCTCTCGCTTTATCAATTTTTCCATTCGATTTTGGCCTATTTCGGTTTCTCAATTTTTCGATTTTTCGACTTCTCGATTTTTTGGTCTTTTAATTTTTCGATTTCTCGATATCTCAGTTTTTGAATGTTACGATATTTCGATTTGTTGGTTTTTCGATTTTTTGGTTTTCAGTTTCTCGAGTTTTCGATGTTTCGATTTTTGATTTATCTGATTTTTCAATTTTTAAATTTTAGATTTTCGAATTTTTATTTTTTTGATATTTTGATGTTTGGATTTCTCCATTTTTCAGTTCCTCAATATTTTTTTATTTTTCAAATTTTGACGTTTCTGAAGTTTCAGTTTTCGGATTTCTCAATTAATCTATTTTTTTCCAAAGTTTCGATTTTTCAGTTCTTCAGTTCTTCAATTTTTCAATTTTTTAAGTTGCGATTTTTCGACTCTGCTTTTTTGACTTTTCTGTTTCTCAATTTTTTAATTTCCTAATTTTTGGATATTTCGTTCAATTTTGTGATTTTTCAGTTTTTCCATGTCTCAATTTTAACTTTTCAATTTTTAAGATACTAGGTTTTTCGATTTTTTGAGTTTTCAGTTCTTCTATATTTCAATTTTTCAATTTTCGGGATTTTTAAATTTTCGATTTTCCAATTTTTCGATGTTTCGATTTTTGGATTTCTCGGTTTTTAGATTTTTTACTTTTGGGCTTTTCAATTTCTGGATTTTCCAATTTTTCAATGTTCAGATTTTCCAGTTTTTCAATTTTTTAAATTGAATTGGATTTCTGGATTCTTCATTTTTGCGATATTTTAATTGTTCAATGTTTTAAATTTTAGATTTTTCGATTTTTTTACTTTTCAGTTCTTTTTTAGTATTTAAATTTTTCAATTTATCAAATTTTGACGTTAAATTTTCAGTTTTCTGATTTCTCAATTAATCTATTTTTGATTTCCCACTTCTCAAAATTTCGATTTTTCATTTCTTCCATTCTTCGATTTTTCGACTTCACTTTATTGGTTTTTCGATTTCTCAATTTTTGGATATTTCTTTCAGTTTTAATATTTTTCAATATTTTGATTCTTTGATTTTTCGACTTCTAGATTTTCGATTTTTTATTTTTGGATCTTCAGTTTTTCGTTTTTTATACTTCAGATTTTTCGATTGTTCTATATTTCAATTTCTCAATTTTTCAACTTTTCCATATTTAATTTTTTCAATTTTTAAATTTCTAGATTTTTCGATTTCTCGAGTTTCCAGTTCCATACTTTAATTTTTCAATTTTCCGAATTTTTAAATTTTTTGAGATCTCGATTTATTGAGATTCGGATGTTTCGATGTTTTGATTGTTCAATC